ACAACATTGTTTATAAATATTTGCTCAAAAAGGTCACAAATAAATTCAAATGGATTACTCAGTTCAAAAATTATTTCCAATGGGGTGGCCATTTATATAGATTCGTTTCCGGGTTAAAACATCTTTCCGCACCTATCTACCCATAAAATAAATAATATAAATCCACGAAATGCTCGGCGATTCGGCAAATATGTAAAATGTTGAGCGCGACAAACGGCGGCGGAAAATTAGTGAGCCAGGGGCACTCGAATTCTTACCCAGCGATGCCCAGAAAGTTGGCAACAAACTCGCGAGATGTTTCTCAAGTACCTCTGCCCGTTGCCACGCCCCCCCCCCCCCAGCCCACTGGCACAGACACGCCCAGCGGCAGCCGCCCCCTTTGCCAGAGTGAAGTGCTCGAATGCGGCTCGCACTCGAAAACATTTTTTTGGCGCTGGGCGTCCCCCTTGAAAATGGTTCAGACCATAAACTTTTGCAGCCCGAGTTCTCGCACACATTTATTCTGCCCCTCTAGACTTTATATTGGTGTGCTGGGCATTGGCCATTGGGTAATGCATTATAAAATATTCAATAATAATAATCTTCGCCTTGACCACGCTGCATATGCCGAGTGCCAAAAAGAATTCTTCGGCTGGCTTCCCCTTGAAATATTCTCTAAGGACACGAGTGTTTGTTCTGCATATGTGGAAAATATCAGGAGTGAATAAATGTTTGCTAAAACGAAATTAAAGCTGAAAGGAAAAGTGTTTGGCAATATTGAGGGCTTGTTTACATTTGATTTTTATTACATTTTTGATCATTTTCTATTTTGCAATACTGACCTTCATCAAATGAAATATTTTGAGTGCAGCTCAAAAAATCAACTCTAACTAAAATTATGAATTGAAAAGGATTTTTATTTATTTTTTTATTTTATTTGGCATAGCTTATTAGCTTTGTTTGATTTTGAATGACCTATATTCAACATGTTTTTATATTTCTGCTGTCAAAAATTCCTTTATTGAGAATTGATTGTCTGAAGTTAACACATTAAATTAACCAAGAAAATACGCCGGGTTCGAGTTCATTGCCTGTTTTCGTGAAAGTTTCGCAATAAAAATGCAAACGCATTTTTTTTGGCTTTTGTTGTCTGTGCGAAATTGATTAATTTATTTTTATGTTCATATGTTCGTATGTTTTGCTTGTTATCCATTTGCTTTTAGCGCCTTTGTCAGAGCACTTGAAATGCTTTTGTGATATATTTTTATATCAGCCAGACAGCATCTAGCCGTAGATTTATGTATTCTCTATTTTGTGCTATATTGTATACGATATTTTGAGATTTCTGAGGCCAGCGGACAGTTGGCCATTAAATGGATAGCCCTTCGCCTCCCCCTTTTTGACCGTGGCACTCATCGTATTTCATTTTTCTCAGTTTACATTCAATTTGCTTTCGACATTCGCTCGCAATGGTGTTTGAGCCAAAACATTTGGTTTCACTTTGCGCATAATTAACTTTTGCAGTTGCCGCCTTTACAAACACATTCAGTTTGCTTAATTATGTATATTATAAGCGATTATGAATTCAAGAACTTTTGCTCTCAATTTGGCAATTTTCGGGGATTATCATAAATGCCTTTGAAAATGATGCATAAATCTCTTGCGTAATGTGTTTACGCAAATAGAACTTAAAAACTTGTTAAAAAAGTTTAGGATTACCATGGGTAAAACATTATGTTCTATAGTGAGAATAGAAAATATACATTGTATAATAAATAATATTTAAATAATTTGAAGATTGAATATTAATTATTTAAATTCATGTCCGACATGGCTCTCCTTAAATTTTAAAACTGTTTGCTGCTTCGATTGATTTTTTCCCGTTCACTTTCCAGCGATGTGCCACGCTGCGTATGAGTAATGAGCAGATGAATTCGATTTCGCGCTCTTGAAACGATGCCAAGCGTGCTCAGACAATGGACCATTGAATGGGGAAATTGGGAAATGGGATGGGCGGCCGGGAAATCCAACCCAACCAGACGCAGACGAAGCGACGGCGAAGAAGAAAAGCCATTGCCAAAATAGCAAAGTAATTGCAAATCGCCAAAGCCGTGCAGTCACAGCGAAGGAATGTTTAAATGCGTATAAATAATTCGGGACCTCCTGCCCGAGATGTATTTATAGTGCTCCATACGCGCGGATTGATTTGGTTTCGCACTCTGAATTTCGGCGGGCCTTTTCTTTTCGTCTGACGTACGATGGTCTTTGCTCTTTTGATTACCCATACGCCCCGTGGGCGCAGCCAGAGCTCATTTGTGCACGCGTGTGCACCTAATTGTCAGCAGAGTGCACTCCTCCTTTCAGTTACTTAAATGTAATTGCACACAAGTGCAATTAAAGAGCTTGACACATGGGGCGCAAATTTCCACGCTTCGGAAAACTCCCAACGAGCTGTCAGGTCGCCAGGAGCAGCAGAGCTGCCTGTTTGCCCATTAATTTCATTAAAAAAATACGCAAGGTACTTAGTTTAAGTTTTCAGCAACTTTACAAAGGAGAGATAATCAGTTTTTCTTGATTACATTACATTAAAACCTTTAAATATAAACTTTTAATTGTATTCCTTTCATACTCACTATAAAACTAATTCGTTTAATGGACTTTTTTTGGTTTTGGACTTTAATTTTCTGCTGTTTCAGGTTATTTAAATCGATACCTTAAAAAGTTAATTCTTCGATTATTTCTGTACTTATTTCCTTTAAGCTCTTTTTCTGCATTCGATTTCCTTCTACCTTTTTTTCGACAGCTGATTGGCATCACTAACATTGTCCGTAGAAGAACCACCTCCTTGGCCATTTCTGCAGTTTGTCTTCATTCATCTCAGAGCAGAATCGCCTCCAAGTCGTAAATTTTAAATGCTTTTGTAGGTCATTGCTGCCGAGATGGCAGAGAAAAAGAAACCGGGCATTCAATGCGCAAGAACAAGACGAAACTTTGATCTGAACTTTTGCCAAGCGAGTCTTTTGAACTGCAGCCTCTCGGCTTTCCTCGCTTTTCCTCGCAGCTGAAAGACGAAGGAAAATTTATGCGCCTGGCTGCGCCGGTCAGCGAAATGGCGCCAAGGTTCAAAGCTCCAAACAAAGGTTGAGCAAAAAGGGGAGCAGGGCCACTTAGTGGCCACCCACTCCACTTGCCACTCGCCACTCCACCGGCCACATGATTGAGTTTCGGCCACCGTTGTTCTTTCGCTCGCTGTGCATTCAATTTTATTGCAAATTGTTTGCAACAGTGTTTGAACTTTACTACTGGGCAACGTGTTTTTGTTTTTCGGCCATGCAAAACATGTCGCAACAGCCGTAAAAAAAATGTTGCTGCACTGCAGCCTACCGAAGGGCAAAGGGATACGCGTACACGGAAAAGCGGAGGGGGAAAGCGGAAAAGTGTTTGCCCATCACGTATACGAAATGTGTTACGTTTAAGTAACAACAACGAGGGTCGAGAGGAAAGTTGTTTGAAAGGCTCTTTTTACCATTAATTACTATCTACATAATTGACTTAATTGCTGTCACTGATATAATGATTTTAAGAAACAATGTGAAAATATTATAAGATATGCTAATAAATATTACACAATGAAATGGAATGACGACTATTTAAAGAAAATGGGATTTAAAAAAACCAACCAAAAAGTTAGCATAAAGACATTTTCCAAACTTTCCTGCGCATTATAACCCTTTTGAAATGCAAATTAACCCGATTATACACTTCCAACTCAATATTCATTACGAGCTGCAACTAGGAGTCCCAAATAATCCGAAATCAGAGCTAATTCACTGCTGATATTCATTTATCACAATCACCATCACAATCTGAAATTCCCATTCAAAGTTATTCAGCAGATTTCTTCAATGATTATTCCCGAATTCCTCAATCGCTTGAGGAGCTCATTCAGAATTAAATTACTTTACGGCCCTCGAGGAGCGCGAACAGAAACACAGACACAGACACACACACAAGGCACTTATTGCAATTTCAGCTGCACATACATGCCAAAAACAATGTGCTCGAACCCAAATACACACACACACACAAAGAGAAAGCAAAACCATCGCAAATTTACAGACAACTCAGGAGCTCAGTGCTCCAAAGTGCAAAGCGGCGCAAATGTTCAGTTTGGATTTATTGTTATGCGAATCTCTCCTCTCCGCATAGTATATATAAATATATGTAATATATGTATATCGTATGTTTGTATAAAGAAGCCCCTCGAGTGTGCAAGTGTGTTTGTGTTTGTGCGGCAATGCGGCGAAATGTATTACAATTAATTTGGCACACACGGCGTATGCTGAATATTATTTGGTCGCTGCAATCGAGTAAATCCGCGGCAATTGGCAATTATACAAATTCTCATCACAGACAATTGCAAGTGCAAAATAGAACAGTGGGCGTGGCGGGGAGAATGAGGGAGGTGGGAGGTTGTGGGGGGTTGGAGAACCGAATCCATGGCCAATGTGATTGATGATTCGACCTCCGATGATGTGACAAAGTGGCAGCCATGTAAACTCCGTAAACGGTGCCACCCAAGTTGCCCGAGGTGATTCGGGGTCAGGTCAAAGGTCTGTGGTTCCTGAACTTTAAATGCTGCTGCGACATTTGCATTTGAGCTTTAAAAACATCGAACCCACGATGGATGGCTGCATATAAATTGCTGTTAGCTTTCAGCTCACTGGGAAAAGGTAATTTCATTACTTATTTATTTACCTCCATGCTTCAAGTAACTTCTTGTATTTTTTATTAAATTACAAGTCATTCAACTGAAAATGTTTATACAAATCAAATCATTTATTTATTTGTTATTATAATCGAAAAATTTAAACTCAAAAAAAGAAGCAGGCATTTAGATAAGCATAAACTTAAATAAAATATAAACTTATATAATTCACAAGTAATTTAATTGAAATGAAAATAAATTGAATATTATTCTACCCAACTTATAACCCATGTTTTTTTCTAAGTGTACTCACCTGTGTGTCAACAAAGAATGGAACTATTATGGCAGCATAAAGGACCACCAGGGAGCCGCCTCCAAACGCCGATGATTGAGCTAATGGCCACCAGTTCATATACTCGTATATGGGTTGGGCTTTTTGGGGAGGAGGAACCGGCAGGTGTCACTAGAACGGGCGCACGCTCTTCATTTATCCGATAATGCCACACATTCCACGCGGGGCACCCGGATCCCGGCCAGAACTTCAAACGATTGCCAGGCGCTTCGTTTATTTACACGAAACTAGTTTATGCCCGAAAAGCACCATTCGCAGGCACTTGAAAAGCGCTCCCGTTTATTATCTTAATAATTCCCACCGTTTCGGCGGCGCTCTTTGTGCGTCAAGGGGTATAGATTCCGAATTAGATTCGGATTCGGATGCGGATTCGGATTTGGATCCGTATCTCTGGGTCCGAGCAAGTGCACCGTGTGAACCGGAGGCGGTAAGGCAACTAAGCGGATCGAAATCTCTTGGCGCTCGCACATCCCAAAGCCAAATGCACGCCAAGCGATTTGTTTATCCATCTGCTGCGTGTGCGTGAATTTGTTCGTTATTAATTGCAATAAATGGTGTCGGCGTGGGCGGCATTTTACTTATTTTGGTCGGATTCTGTCTGCTTTTGGGGTTCTGCTTTCCATTGCGTTCAACCGAATTTATTTTGAATTCGTTAGCGCCCTCTAGCGGGCAGCGTTCTCATAACGATAGTTTCGGTTCGATACGTTAGTGTTACTCAGCACTGGTAATTTTCAAAATGTTTAGTTTTTGAGCCCAATCTTTGAACTTATACAATTATGTTTTACCTAGACTTTAACATTTTTAAATACATGCAAAGCAATTTTATAACACACTTCAATCAACTATATTTATAAATATTTTAAGTATATTGTTTAGCTAACCTACACACAGGTAAAAAAATTTATTTACAACTAATACGATAGGAATCCTTGAAAACCACTTGTATCAGTTAAAGACCTGACAGGGTGCCACATCCTCGATTTCCTCTCCGTCCAGGGCTTTAATTTGGCACTGGCATAGAAACTGCACGATCTTCCGCTCGGCATTTGCCCGCTCCAAAGGACTCAGGCCGTCCAGCAGCATCTGAGCCTTGGCCAGTAAGCTATTTGCCGGCGTCGTACTCCGATGTTCCCGCTCCTGTTCCTGCTGCTCGTGCTGGATTTGGGCTTGTAGCTCCCGCGATTGTTGCAGCACGGTCTCCATGTTGGCTATCACGGTGGTTAAAAGTTTGTCGGACGTTGCGGCTGCTGGTGTGGAGTCCTCAGCTACAGCTGACAACTCCTCCACGACTGGATTAGCTCGGTCAATGGTGTGGATAACCTCTTCACTCATGGCAGGCGTAGTGGTGGTCACCTGAAGTTGCTGCGGTGGATCCAAATCCTGCGACGGCGTTGCCGCGCTGAAAATAAAGCCATAGGGGGTTGTCTGCTCTGCCTCCGATAGGATTTCAATCTCTTCATCGTAGGCCAACTCCAGTTCATCCTCCAGTTCGTCATTATCCGTACTGTAGGGATAGTCAGCGCCCCAGATTTGCTCGCCACTGGCAACGACTATACCCTCCTGTTGCTTCCCAGAATTTCCGGCGGGATTACCCGACTTGGGTGGCCGTCCCCGACGTTTAATGTTCTCCAGAACCAGGGGAACACCCTTGCGAAAGTGGCGACCCAGGAAGAGGAGCTCATTAAAGTACCGCCATGTGATCGGCGTTGCCTGGTTGATCTGCTGACTGCGGTATTCCCGGGCGAAGCGATCGCGGAGCTTCTTCCAGCGGTTGTAGCACAGTTCCTCTGGGAACAAACATGGTATTAAAAAATGAAGGTTAAGATGGGAAACTCAAACTCACCCGATACGTTCAGATTCTCGGAGATCTCTCGCCAGGCTTCGTTTTTGGCAGCCAGGTTTTTGGAGACTCTTATTTTGTGGCGGTCATAGAGCACTGGGTGCATTTTGACCAGCTCTATGAGTTGCTCGCTCAGCAAGTCATCCTGGCAGTCGTCCTCCTCCTCTTCCTTCCGCCGTTTCTCCTGATCCATGTCCACTTTTGGCCGCTTCTTTCGTTCCCTTGGCTCAAAGCGCATCCCGTCGAGACTTTCGTTCCTGGCCAAACCCTGTTTGTAGTGATCCTTGAGGAAGAGCAGACGCGGGAACATGTCCCAGTAGGTGGGCTCATCGGGTCGCTCCTGAAAGCGACGGAATTCTTTGCCGAAACGATCGCGAATGCTCTTCCAGCGCGTGATGCATGCTCTTTCGGAGGCTCCCAACTTCTGGGATATGGCCTTCCAGGCCGCATCCTTCTGTGCCGCATTCTTAACACTCCGTGCACTGTCCTTGTCGTACAGGATTGGGTGGTTCTCAATCAGTTTGATCAGCTCGACGTCGTCCATTGATTTTATAAACTATTTGTTATTATTTATTTTCAACGGTCTGGCAGCCCTGCAGGAGGTATTGCAGCTTAAATAACAGGGATGGGGAATGAATTTTAAAAAGAAACCTTAAAACATTTTATTTTTGCCTCTACAAATCCATACTGAAGCCTGTTTGGACCTACGCTAAATAGCTTTTGGAAACTGTTAGCAACTCAAATATTGAGATACTTCAGCGTTACCAATCAAAAACTGTGCGAGAAATTGACAATGCTTCTTTTTACGTATCATCTAATGCAAATATTTACAGATATCTTAATATTCCAACCATAATGGAAGAAATAAATAAAACCATGAAGATAACAGTTTAACAGTAAAAAGACTGAAAAGATACTACATTCTCGATCTCCACGATAGATAATTGAAAGAAACTGTTAAGATGCTATCTTTAAATCAGAGATCAATGGAAAACTGTTTTTCTATCTATTTAAAATTTATAATACAATTAACTTATTTCAAAAGACAAATTTTATATAAAATTGTATATATTATAATTTGAAAGAACATCTAAATTTTGTACACGTTTTAATTAAATTTTAAATATTTAAATATTTTTAGGTTTCCCTAGCGTGCCATCGATATTTGCCAAGACATTCCGATTGTGCCATCGATGTTTTTGCACCATCTCCAACGACCTGGCAACGCTGTCTGCAAAGAAAATACGGCAGCGTGCTCCCTTTTTTCCACCCACGTTTTGTTATAATTTAATAAGTATTACGGTCTGAGACCGATTTTTCTCTGCAAGCGCACTGCAGAAAAGTTCATGAGATTGTTATTTAAAGGTGGGAAAACAAGGGAAAGCAAATTTTAATGCAACTGCTTGTGCGGATGTGTGCGTGAGCATTGGAATTTGCCTCTGTGTACGGTGCGTGCGTGTGGCTGTGTGACGGACCAAAAAAGCCGACATCAGCGCCCATTTTTTGTTGTTGATTCATTAATACGCCTGACATGCGCCAGTATTGGTGAGTTGGAGCATCGCCCCGTCTCACTTGCACCCAGCGGCGGCAGTCAAAGAAGAAACAGTTGGCGCAGAAAGAGCGCAGGGAGCGGCAGAAGAAGAAGCAGCAGCAACGGCAGCGGCAAAAGTCAACGTCATAAAATTTGTCATCGCATTTGGCACAAGTAACAGTTAATAATTAGCCGCCATGATCCTGCTGGAAATCAATAATCGGATTATCGAGGAGACATTGCTGGTCAAATACCGTAATGCCCAAGCCGGGTAAGTTGTAACTTTCCAGTCCCCAACTTCCATTTCCACCATTTTTTTTTGTTGGTTTATCTTCTGCATTCCCTACTGTTATCACCAGTCGGCTTTGTTATCAGTTTCGTCGCCACCTCCCGCTCGCACTCACACTCCTTAGGGGACCAAATTCGGGTGTAGTTCCAGCCTTGGAACACTCATCGCTGCAGCTCTCTCCCTCCCACACACGTACTCAAGTACAGTGTACCCCCCTTCCCGCAGACAGCTCGTTTGTTAATTCATTACATCTCGTTTATCGCATCATTGGTGCATTATGCCTATAAAACTGACTCATCGAGCATTAAAGTCAATAGAATTGAAATGTTTAGATAAATCAAAAGTAACTTTTCAACAAACCTCATCTGGAATTTCTATTATAAATAACTTTGCAGTTTCAAAACCAATAACACTGAGATTATTGACCACCTAGTGTGTCAAGGAAATCAAGCTACGCTAGTGTGTGCTTGATAAAAACAATAATACACTTGAATTTTCAAAACTCACACACTTACTCAGACTTTTATAATATACCCCAAAATTTAAACCAGAGCCAAAGTGGCATATTTCGAAAATCTTTATATTTGTGTCTCAAATGCTCTAAGACCAATTGCTTTAGACGAACGGCATCCTGAATAATCTATCATGTTATTACAGATGACTTGTGTTCGTGTACATGAGCCCTAAGCTGATTTCTTTGGAGACAAAGTTTACATGCTAAGGATCCTAATCCTTTTCGTGTCTACAATGCTCCCATACTAATTTAAACGTTTAAATCATCTTGGATATTATGATATATCCTTAGATAAATACATTCGTACACAATTAAATACTACTGATGTATAACATGGAGTAAAAGTGGCATGTTTTAAAATTAACATTTAATCTGTGTCTCTAATGCTCCAAAAGTAACTAAAAAGACGAACGGCATCCTGAATAATTATTTATATTATAGCAGATGACTTGTGTTCGTATACAGTACCTCACAATAGGTATTTTAAAACATGGTTTTTTAGGAGACAAAGTTTACATGTTGAAGATATTTGTTCTTTTTCGTGTCTACAATGCTCCAAAAGTAATTGTATGTGCAAATCAACCTGGTTAATCTGTTATGTTACCGAGGTTGATTTAATTCAAGCACAAAAACTCGTTATTATGGTCCAGGAGTTAAAGTGGCATGTTTCAAATTAGTCGATTGATCTGTGTCTCTAATGCTCCAATATCAACTAGACAGACGAACGGCATCCTGTTTAATCAATCATATTAAAACAGATGACTTGTGTTCGTGTACAATACCTTAGCTACGAACACTCCTCCCAGGAGATAAAGTTTACATGTTAATGTCGTTAAAATCGTTTTCGTGTCTACAATGCTCCAAGAATAATTGTTCGAGAGAATCATCCAGGGAACTCCAAATTATTTCTTTGGATTATTTTATTCGAGCACAGAATTTATATAATATACTAGCAGACCCGGCCACGCGTTGCTGTAGCTAAAGTTATTGTTATATTACATTGAAGTATACAATTTAAGAAGAACGGTAGGTAAGGTAGATAGTCTTAAGTCTCTAATATTTATTATTTTAAACTATAAATATTTTCAATTTAAATTTAATTTAGCACTAATCGGTGTACAATATTTCTGGTTAACCTGTCTTTAGCTAACACAAATAGATTTGACGGTTTTCCAACACGTGAACATGCAACATATAGTTGCCCATGAAAAAGCACGGACGGATTAGATTTTTCCGCGGCATTTTAATTTATTATTATAATTATGTGACAATACCTACATGTATATTTTTTATTTCTATAGAATTTTGAATAATGAAGCACAGATAACTAAAAAGCAGGAATGATTTCACTGTATTATCGTCCCTATAATTTGAATTTGATTTACACTTCGGTCTACGTACGTGGTTGGCTATGCTAACACCAAAAATTAAAAAAGTAGAAATAATTGAATTTCACTCTATTTCGTTTACTACAAAATAAATTTAATTTATACCTTAACCTCTATAACACGTGGTAATCAGGCTATTGTCGGTTTACCATAGCAGCAGGGTTGCCAACTCTACGTCTTTTTACGTAGATCTACGTACTTCAAGCCTTTCTTGCAAACCTACGAACTTCAGTCCCAGAATCTACGTATTTTCTATCAAAATTGTTCATAGCAGTGCCATCTATTGTTTACTTACTCAATCTAATCGAAAAGTATCGACATCTATTAGATTCTTTTGGAGTTACCAGATAATTGTGATTTTCAATTAATTATAAACAAATAATTAGCAATAAAATAAAATTGCGACTTTAATTAAAGATCTAAGCTATCCTATCTCTCAAGTTGGACCAGACTGCTCATGGTATGCCAATTTAATTTAACATCGGTTAAGTAGTTTAGGAGTCCATCGCGGACAAACATCGTGACATGAGATTTATATATATAAGATACTGTGGAGTCAAAGTGGCATTTTTCTGAAATTACATCCGATTCGTGTCTCAAATGCTCCAATAGCAACTAGATAGACGAACGGCATCCTGTTTAATCAATCATATTAAAACAGATGACTTGTGTTCGTGTACAATGGCCAAAGAGGCTCCAATAAATACCTCCGCTCACAATCATAATATGAATAATCCATTGGAGTCAAAGTGGCATACTTTAAAATTTTGATTTAATCTGTGTCTCAAATGCTCCAATATCAACTAGATAGACGAACGGCATCCTGTTTAATCAATTATATTAAAACAGATGACTTGTGTTCGTGTACAAAAGCCCAAACAATGTTTTGTTTTTCAGGAGACAAAGTTTACATGTTAAAAGCGTTAAATTCTTTTTCCGTGTCTACAACGCTCCAACAATAAATGCTCGCTATAATCATCAGAATAATTCTTAAAATAATTATTAGGATGATTTTTTGTGCACAATGTTGCCTCTATATATATATATAATATACATTCTGTGGAGTCAAAGTGGCATTCTTTGGAAATCTTATCCAACCTGTGTCTCAAATACTCCAAAATCAATTAGATAGACGAACGGCATCCTGGATAATTAATTATATTATAACAGATGACTTGTGTTCGTGTACAATTGAACAGAAATTATTAGTTAATTGGGAGCTATATTATGGCATATTTTAGAGACTTTCCCTAATTTGTGTGTGAGTTTCTCCCCAAATTAATTAATTAATAAATTAACTGTAACTAACAGGCAAACCGAAGTCTGTTTGATTTTACAAAATTTAAGCGGATAAACCGAGTTGGCATACACGTATTTGCAAATCGCAAAGAACTTTGAAAATATTTTGTTGATTTTTTTTAAAGATAAAGTATAAACAGGTTTGGGCGATAAGATATAATGGGTTGGTGGAAGCATGACTAATAAACAATCGAACTCATCCGTTTCTTTTGCATTTTTTTGCAGGCTAAAGCCAGAATCGATAGACATACGAATAGCAGACTTTGACGGCGTGCTTTATCACATTTCCAATGTGAACGGCGATAAAACAAAAGTTCGGGTAAGTTTTTATGCAATTTAAATTGAGAATCTTGCTCTTATTAAATTTGTGTTGCCTTCGTGTCTTCCGAAACAGATCAGCATTTCGCTGAAGTTCTACAAACAGCTGCAAGAGCATGGAGCCGATGAGTTGCTGAAGCGTGAATATGGCAGTCTGCTTACCGACACGGAAGAAGGTCTGTTCGTGCTTGTTTGGCTTTTAGAGACGTTAATTAAATTTTCTCCACTGCAGGCTACAATGTTTCTGTACTTATCAATCTGGAGGAGATTCCCGAGGACTGTGAGCAAATTGCAAAGAAAATCGGTCTGCTGAAGCGCAACTGTTTTGCCTCCGTTTTTGAGAAGTACTTCGACTACCAGGAGCAGGGTGAAGAGGGCCAAAAGCGGGCCGTAATTAACTACCGCAACGATGAGACTTTGTATGTTATATTATTAAATTTTGGAGTTACCATGGGGTTAACGAACTCTTTTCGTTTCGCAGGTATGTGGAGGCCAAGCCCGATCGTGTTACCGTCGTTTTCAGCACCATTTTCCGGGACGAGGACGACGTCATCATCGGCAAAGTATTCATGCAGGAATTGAGGGAAGGACGACGTGCCTCGCACACAGCGCCGCAAGTGCTCTTCTCGCACCGCGAACCGCCTCTGGAATTGGCCAACACGGACGCCAGGGTGGGCGACAACATCGGCTATGTCACATTCGGTAGGTTGGAGCCATAACCGGCATTAATTGCACCCTATAGTAGGCAGGAATCAAAAGTAGGTAACCAGATATTCTGGAGCCAAAGTTTACATGTTGAAGCATGTCTTTTTCGTGTCTACAATGCTCCAAAATTAAGTGCTTCGTTAAAATCATCTTGGACGTTTAATTATACTTTCAAAGATAAATACATTCGTGCACAATTATGCATCGATGGTTCTTCTGGAGTCAAAGTGGCATGCTTTAAAATATTATTTTGATTTGTGTCTCAAATGCTCCAACATCAACTAAAAAGACGAACGGCATCCTGAATAATTATTTATATTATAGCAGATGACTTGTGTTCGTATACAAACTAAATTTATTATTCCAAATTTAATTGAGATGTGGAGACAAAGTGGCATATTTTTGGTGAATTCTCTAAGTTTGTGTCTCAAATTCTCCAATAGAAACCAGCAAGACGAACGGCATCCTGAGTAATAACTTGTATTACAACAGACGACTTGTGTTCGTGTACAATTATAACATATTTTATTAAAATGTCTATTTTATCAATGTAACGCTATAACTATATGATTTTTTTACATTTTCAGTGCTTTTCCCTCGCCACACCAACAAAGAAACAAGGGACAATACCATTAACCTAATTCACATGTTCCGAGATTACTTGCACTACCACATTAAGGTGAGAGTTCTCATACGAATTGAATACGGCACATACTTATCGCTCCATATTTTTACAGTGTTCAAAGGCCTACATACACTCTCGCATGCGAGCAAAAACCTCGGATTTCCTCAAGGTGCTAAACCGTGCCAGGCCCGAGCCGAAAAACACGGAGAAGAAAACTATAACGTTAGTATTGTATTTCCACAATACTTTTCCATTCACTAACTTTATTATTTTTCCAGGGGGAGAACTTTCAAACGCATCGAATGATGTGTGCAGTATATTTAGTTGTTTTTATATAAATATAAAAAATAAATTGTGTATTAAAATGCAAAATCCAAACATAATTTCGGCCAAGCAATGGAAGATCCAACAAAAACTTAACAAGATAACAGAACAAAGTATTCCAAACAGAACCTTAAGGCTAATTGTAAGCTCAGCAAGATAATGAACAAAGAATTAATAGTTACGCGTTAATAATTGAATTGTGTGTGTTTTGTGTCGAGTCAGCGTCAAAGTCCGTGTCTCCGCCAGTTTGTTACAGTCAGCAGAACCGCATTTTAAACCAATAAACCCTAAACTTAAGTGCAAAATGAGAACTAAAACTACCATGTCAAAGCGAGCGACACGACTAAGGGATGCCACCAACTTGTTAAATAGTCGCAATGGAGGATACATCCCCGCAATTAGCCTATATGTGTAGAGAACGCATTTAAAAACGTACTGCAAATATTAACAAACCTTTGATACATCAATCGGAATTAATAAAAACGAGAAAATCAAATTGCAATATAAAATATACAAGCCATTCTTTTACTCTTTAGATTTAAGTTACTGAATATTTATTAACTTTTATTGCGTATATTAAGGCATATATATTAGGTAACTAACAATTCGCTTAGGGATATAGACCCCACTGCACAATACTATAACAGTTATGTATATAACACTTTTTCACGGAGGCACTTATATCTTAAACTTAACATTCTGCTTCTCGTTCATGCTTTCTATGCTGGCTTGAAAATTCAGATAATCGCTCTGGATGCGGGCACAAACTGGAAGTAAAGATTAGATAAACCAAGTTATAACTACGAAAAAACTTGGGTGTGATAACTCCGACTTGTGCTACTTACATTGGCAGTGGTTTTGGGATAGATAGTTTGCTGCTTAAGTACTTCCGATAGTTTGTACAGTGTGCGGGTGAATTTACAGAGCTCTTAGGGATCATCGTACTGTTCCAATTTGATATAAGCAAGTGCTGTGATAGAGAAGCGGCGGGACGAGATGGATAGAGAGTGAGTAATATGCCAAACACTGGGAAAAAGTCAGGAAATCAGCAATTGTTTGTAAATAAAGAAAAGAAAATTTCATAATCTGTCAGTCGAAGAAATCTGTTTAAAAGAACTTACGGACGATAGGGTTGTTTAATATTGGATCTATAAAAAATCATAATATCTGAAAAATTATTTAAAATTTAACTAATAGCTTTGTTTAATAAAAACAGAAAATATCTATAAATACCTAATTGGGGTAGCATAAAAATAAGTTTACATATTTTCCCAATCTTCTAGTTTTAGAAAACTGTTTTATATTCAAGACACTAGATCCTATTCCTCACTTGAGATAGCCCTTATTCCGAAGTGTGGCATTAACTAGCGTGCAACAAGAGGAGCCAGCTGGAGGAGTCGTTTATCATTTTGTATATACAAATGCGTGAGCTCGTGTGGGAGGGAAATGGATGGGAGGGAGGAGCACCAGACAGGAAAAGGGCTTGGCTCGCATTAGGGTGACAACGAAACTGGGACAGTTGGTACACAGGACCTTTACGCTGTGTATATGCATATGTACGATGGTAATGAGATGGCGGAGCTATTTTCCTCACCCTTCTGAAGGTCCATGTCGTCCATTTCGGAGTTCTTGATCTGCTGGAGCTTCTCGCGGAATTTCTTCGTAATCTGTTTGCGCTGGTAGTCCGCCTCAATTTCCTGTTTGGTTCGCGGAATCCGGAATCGAATGCAGCAGCAGACCATTATCACTGTACGGATTATCAAGTATCATTTTAGGTTCTCAACAATGCCCATGATTGCTCACTTATCAGCATAAGAATACCGAGCACGGCTGCTATAATATGCCACACTCTGAATCCTGCAATGGCGTCCTTTTCCAGCCACACTTCACGTGGGTCAATATCGAAGATGTCCGTATCGTCATCCATTTTAAGGCTGATTTATGAGCTTTTCCAGGTGCAGGAACCGCCGAGTTGCTCCAGAAATACGTCTGGCCGCCTTGCCAATCCAGTTCCGACTGCCGACCCAAGAACTGGTCCGAACTGGCCTGGCCACCGAGTAAGTTGGTAGGGAAGGCACTCCCTCTATGGAAAAGCATTATACGCGGGGTGTAGCCAACGGTGGCAAAATGGCTAACTTGTAAAATAACAAACAAAGAAGACATCCCAGCCCGTCGACAAATGAAAGCTGGAACTTGGAAAGGTAATGATAGATATTTTAGGTGATGCAGGGAAGGATTTATACCTCAAGGGAACCTACCAAGAATATTAATTTTAATAACTGAATATCGTCTTGCTTGCCAGTTTTAATATTTATTAAATTTAATTTATGAGATTCAATTAAGCTCAAAAAGATACTTACAGAAATATTGTTTTCCAAAATGTAATGATTTTTATAAATATTTTTTTTTAATTGATTTTTTTAATAATTTGGTTAGTATAACTTTAATACTACTCACTTAGCAATCCGTCCCTGATTCATTGCGAATATGAATGGGAAAATGACAACAAACTCGACTCGAATCCAAGAAACTAGGTGCGGCACCGCGTGCCACAGGATAAAGACCCACTCGCTTTACATACCGAAAGGATCTGGGCGATCCACAGTGGGCGATTTTGTCTCGCTAGCGGCATTTAATTCAAATTTCAACTTTCAAAAAGCGATGATTTTTTTCACAATTCGATAATAGATACTTTGATTAGATTTATCCAAGCATTTTAAAAGCTCTACGATGAGCTGATCATCAGCTGTGAACGGACAAACACAGAAAATGATTTTGCAAAGAACTTTACAAAATTTTACCTGTTTGCGCGCACCGAATTCAAGTTCCTCGGAAATTTACAATTTTTATTGAATTTATTAAAAGTTTGGTTTTTTATTAATTTCAAGGTATACATTACAAAAAAAATTAATGTTTGTGACCGGTCTATAAATGTGTAGCTCATAAAACGTAGTGGCAATTCAGTGTATTAACAACGAGCCCGGATTAGCGTACACCTGTCTTTCGTGGAGAAGAACTTACCTGATTCAAGTGGATTCAGTCTAACTCTTTTATTAGCCGAAAGTGTGAATCAGTGGCGTCCAATGTGTGTAATATGAACTGCTAGTACCTGCTAGCCTTCAAACTATGGTACTTTTTAAGGCACAATGTCAGTAGCAAAAGGGATCTTTTTTAGTATATTTTAGTATTTTTACTATGCCGCCGTCTGATTCCGAAGATTCTGAATAAAATTCTAGCCATTTTTAAATTATGTTTGTTTATGGAATATATTAATTGAAGTTTAAAAAACATAAAAATAAATCAAAATTTAAAATTAAAAAATATATTTTTTTAAATTTAAAAAAAAATAAAAAGGTATTAAAAAAAACAACTTTTTTTAACTTAAAAATTTGTATGATATTTCTTTGATCGTTGAAAAAAAACCGACTGAAGATATCTATTTTAGTTTAGAAGTTATTAATTAAATGCCGCTAGCGAGACCAAATCGCCCACTGTGCGATCGGGGGTAGGGTGGGTCCTCCCCCAACAAAGGACAACATGCATATGGTTAGTTAGTCGAGGCATGGCCACCTGCTGGTCACACCCAATTGGTTCGGTTACTTTCCCGGCTCACCGAGAAACTGGTAACTGCAAAAGTCTGGGCGGGATTGGGAGGCGCCGGAATTTGGCCTAATGACTGTGACATTTAGGGGTTGGCAATGAGAATTATGGGATTGCAATTATTCGAGTGGACAGCAAGGTGAGTGTCAGTTTAATAAGTATTTTTTTTATAAAATACATTATACATTATATTAACTTAGAATAAGTAACATATGCTCTCGTTATAGTCAACCCCATTAATTAATTTTTAATATTATTCATTAATGATATAAAACACCAATTATTTTCAAAATGCTGAGCACATTATAATTATAAATGTGGAGGAACTAAAGATCTTTAACACTTGTTGTGTTCCATTTCGGTTAACCTATTATTAGCGATCATATAAAAACGTCGCCCATTGGGATATAAAGGGTCGATTCTCGGATCTGTTTACAAGTGAAAATGTTCGCTATCGCAGTACTAATTCTGTTCGCCGGAAGGTCCTGCACTTGGGCCTCAAAATACAACTTTGTTCTGGAGGATTCGGACATCTTTACGGAGTGTGAGGTTAAGCCTCCCGGTTCGATCGGTATCCGCGGTGTCTTCGACATGGATAACTTGGTGTTCGAGCCGGAAGAAGATGGCGTTCATGTTTCAGGAAATTTCACCGCTACATTGAATTATTCACGCACTGACCGCATTACCGTAGACTTGCTGGAAATTAAGATCCTCGAAGAATAGTAACGTATTGAACACATTTCAGGCAAGGTTCCAAGTAATGCAATACAACCGGGGCAGCTGGGATCCGACCCTTTATAGTATGATGACACCTGACCTTTGCAGTGTATTATTCAGTGAGTCGCAATACTACTATCAATATTGGTTTAAAAACGTGGTGAACCGCGAGGAGATACAGGAAAAGTGCATCATAACGAGGAATGTAGGTATGCATAGTCCTTGGGCAAGATTGTCTTTCTTGAGTTTGGTTTTATTTCAGACCACAGTGATTTTAAAACCTTTCGTGATGAACTTGCGTCTGGAAAACGTACGTGTTCCCGTACCCCTTCGTGGGCGCTTTAAAGTGGTGTACACCTTCACTATTTACGATGAAAATGATGTACAGCGACCGACAAACGTGTGCTTCGAAATAAGGGGCGAGTTGATAAAAATTAATTCAGAAGAGTCAAGTTAATCTGAAATTCAAGAAGAAATAAATATGTTATTTAAAGTTACCAAGTTGAAAGCTTGGAACCAGTATCACCCTGTACTTAATGGCTTGTTTTTAACTAAATTGCTTTTGTGTTTTGATATTTCACAGGTACAATATTAATTTATTGTCTTATATTATCAAATTAATTGATATTAATTGCAATATTACAGATTGTGTAATTATGGAGGAACAGAAAAGAATGTGACTCCATTGCATTATTGTAATTACCTTTCATTTTACGGTAATTACCTTAAACGCTTACACTTAAGCTTTCAAAAATCCGTTAAATGCCTATCGAAAGTGGCGCCACCTGGCAGGACGAAGAAGCGTGTGGCGGTTCGCGGAACCACTCGCCAAGGAGCCCCAAGGAACACTCGCTGGCTTTCGGGGGGCATGCGCAGGATGGAGCAACGTTGCCCCAACGAGTGGGGCAGCACTCATTCACCTACTCATTCAACAAAATATGTGCTATCCCGAATCAGTTTCAGTTCAGGCTCTCGTTCGGTGGCACATTCGGTGGCGCTCGTCGCAGAAAAGGCATGCAGAGAAAATCTAGAAAGTAGTGGCTGAAAAAAAGCAAGAGGCAGCCAGCCCAAGCAGAGGAAAATTCTGGGGAAAAATCGAAAAGGAGGCGATATTGAAACGGATGGGAGCGTATTGTATTATCCTCGCTGCAGTATTATCCTCGGATCGAAGCGAATCGAATCGAAATCGAATTGAACACGGGCTCGGGCCTGTGTGTGTGAGTGCCAGTTCGAGTGTGTGTGAGTGTGCGGAGTACATATGTAATAGGGCCATGAAGTTTTATTGAAAAACGAGGCAGAGACAAGGCGAAAAGGCCATAAGAATTGGGCCCCTAAACCCCCCGTCGAAAGCCCCGAAAACCCCGACACGCCCCTTTTGCAAAGGAAGAAGTGTAGCTGTGAAAAATGCCCCATGCAAAAACTGTGCCCATGTGGCTCCGAATGGGAGTCACCCATTTGGTAACGTGCAGCTGAAAAAATTCCCAAATCACAAATCTGTTGAGCGAAAATCAAAGAGGGCCGCCGAGTAAAAACCACACAGCTAACCCATATATCCTTTATATACACCTCTATATAGACGGGCAAAAAAAAGAAATAAAGAAGAAAAATACGAAGAAAATCATTTGCGGTGACAAAAACAAAACGCTGTGTGCGAAAATCGGGCCAAAATGTGCGAGCGTGAGCGTAAAGTGCGTGGGTGTGTGTGAAAGGTGTAAAAAATGTACATTCTGTGAATTGGCCACATAAAAAAACGAGTAACGAGTGTAACGACAGACGTTATATTTAGAGCCGATTCGTAGTTCTTGTTTTTGTTGCCATTCCCTCTGTTTGCCACCAAACAAAAAAAAAAAAACGAAACCAAAAACGAAAACGAAAAAAAAAATACAAGGCAAAAACGGAAGGCCGCAAAATGCCCAGAGATCTCGACTCCGGCTCCGAATCCGAATCCAAATCCGATTCCGTCTCCGCTTCCGACTCCGGCGATTCCGGCGTTGGCAATATTCCCGGACAGCAAAAGCAAAAGCAGAAGCAGAAGCAGCATCAACAGCAGCAGCAGCAGCAAAAGCAAAAGCAGAAACATCTGAAGCACCAGCATCAGCACTTTTACCAGCATACCACGCGACCACCCACGCTGTGAATCTCCCCCATCAGATCTTCAGCACCTGCCAATCGCCACTGTAATTAGACGCATATAATCCACAAATCAATAATAATCACCAAATCAGCAAAGTAAGCACCGCTTTTCGTTTGTTCGAGCCACACACTCACATGCAAAGAAACAAAAAACATAATTCCAATCTAGCCAAGAACCAGTGTAAATAGATATAGATTGCACTTCAGAGCGCTTTTGTTTTGACCGCCAAACCGAACTTTGCACGCCTATCGCCGCCAAATAATCGATATTCGATTGACAGCCAGCTAAGCCACCAAAAAATAGGCTTCATTTGCAATACAAGATTTTCTACTTAAAATGCTTATAGTTAAATAATTTATATACTATATTTACTAATACCTTTTTTTTCAAAAGGGGAATTCGTTAAAAAAAAAAAAAACGGTTGTTGCGATAGAATAGTGTTGAATTGAATCTTATCCTGAAAACAGCTTGGATAAATTGCTTATAGTACGTTTAAGTTGAAACGTAAATAGCCAAATAATTTTTGAAACAAGAAAGATTTTTTTCGATTCAAAATATTCAGGGTTGTCGCTTTTGGTTGTAATACAAGTTTGGTGACTTGTTGAGCTTTTTCCCTTTGTTGATTTTGGATTTCAGAGTGGATGGTGTTTGGAAATGTTCACTGATTTATATTTACTTTAAGGTTTTGTTTTTACCAGCTACGAAGGTCTAGAAAGTTATAAAGATTTGTCAAATTTTAGTTAAGAATTTTCCTGGATGGTCCCTAGTCGTATACGCAATTTAAAATTTACAAAAGGTTGTATTTACCAATTATCGTACAATACAAAATGTGTTTATTTTGAAACTGTTAACAATTTTTAATTCCCTGCCTTGATTTTGGGGAGTTTTCTTCAGGAACTTAACTTTTGGAGAGCAGCATCGAACCAAAAGAGGCAGTCGGAAATAAGTTTGAATGAAAAACGTGATTTCAAATTCAACTTGTGTAGGCTCACACGATTGGCAACGTGTGAAAGTATTTGTTGACGTCGAACTAAAAAGTTCGTCGTGACGTCACAATGGACAGAAACAAAAACAGTGCCTTTAATGTGATTTGGTAAAAGATGTTAACAAAATTATAAATAAGTGCGGAAGAAAAAACTTTTAACATTTACAAAAACGCGTTTTTAAGGGAACGGAATAAGGAATGATTACACCAATAATTAAAAAAAACACAACAATAAAAAATTTAAAAAAAAGCGCGCGAAGGTGAGTTAATCGGATTAGGAGCACCTATATCTGTGCTCTTTTTCGCCAGTGCCGCCTATGGGAGACGCACACTAGTGCCGTTGCCTCGCACATTTCACCTCGGGATCCAATCATATGTTCAGTGGCAACTCGACGTCGAACCAAAGTGACAGCACCATGTTCGACGTCAGAAGTCGGCGGCTCTATAAAGGTTACTCTCCCCACAAGTCACTCGATGCGGTCTGAAATCAGTCGTAAAATAAAACAAAAGGCAACGTAGCAGTCTCGGCAAATTAAATGTAATTAAGTGCATTTAAGTTTTATGCTTACGTGATTCGATTCCCGATTTTTCCGGCGAACAAAACGACCCAGCAAAGTGCCAAAACGTTAAGCTCCCCCAATTTCTTGGGTGTTCTTTTTCTTTTTTGAGGGAATTTCGCGTGTGTGCTGTCATCGAAATATACATTGTGTGACTGTGTTTGTGGGAAAAAAAATATAAGCGTGGTGGAAGCTCCACCACATTTGTTATGTCAATAATTAGCAGAACAAAAAACGCAAGAAATGCGTTGAGGTGTTGATCAAATGGAGAACTTTTCCCTGTTTAACTTCTGCCCCAAAATATTGCATTCCGGCAATCACACGGAAAATTGATTTTTTGCCAAAAGCGCGAGCATTTCATGTGTTTTTAGTTTGTTTCGTTCTTTTTTTTCGGTAAACCAACTGGAGAGAGCGGGGTGTTTGTGTGTGTTTGCCAGTCCAATTGGATTATGCCCGAGCCGGGCTTTGTCCAATTGCCAGATTCTTGTTGGCGCTGTTGTCTCCTCTTTTTGAATTACATTAAATATTTAAAGCATATGCAAATTTGAACAGTGGCCCCGTAAAAGGAATAAAGTACCTTTACCTGGCCGCGGCCTTAACGCGCTTCCCACTGCTGTTCTTGTACTCGTTGTGGTTGTTGCTGCTGTTGTTGTTGTTGTTGGGGCTGATACTGTAGTTGTTGCTGATGTAGTTGTTGCTTTTCCCCCGCCTCTGATGACACACCTTCGGTTCCTCAGCTCGGTTTAGTTTGCCAGAGATGAGCGCACGCTCTTGACTTTTTAAATTTTTTTTCTCAGAACGTTTTTTTAAGAGTTTTGTGAACAATTTAGAAAAAGTTTCTCGAGAAATCTTAGTTAACATGTGCCTGAGTTTTATCAAAATGTTCTCACTGATTTTATATTTTTCCTGTAATTGTCAAGCTGCATAAGATGAAAATTTGTAAGCGTTGGTTTAATTAAAAATTAAATGATAGATAACTGATGATAAATACGTTTAAATTTGCTAATTGAAAGGAAACTATCTCGCTGAGATTTCTCAAAGACAACCTAATCCAGATACAGATATAGCACCTTGGATTTGGCCAGAGCCTCATCTCTATTTGGCAACATTTCCCCTTTTTCCAACCGCTTTTAGTGTCGTGTAAATCGTTTTGTGTGGTGAGGGCTACCTTTTTTTTTTTTTTGGGGTCCGTGTGCCTGAGCCTTTTCTTTTTCGTTTTCGTTTTCTTCTTTTTTTAGTGCTTTACTGCTTACCCAAATACCGACACCCGAAATCACTCACACTCGTTGTGGCTTTTCGTTTGCAGCAGCTGTGGCTTCCATCTCCTTGTTACCGCTCCCGATTTTCCCCATTTTCCCCGCCCTTCCCCCGATTCAAATGCATTTCGATTGCTTCGTTACTTGAATGTGTGTGAGTGCACTCAACTTGGGAACTGCGCCTTTGTGTGTGTGTGTGTGTGTGTGAAGGAAGAAGGATTCTTAAACAGCGTTTTCCTTGATGCCATGTGTCTGCAATGGGAGTCAATCCTGCGCCGTCTCGTGCCTTTTCCTAGCTGCTGTTTCCATTTCGCACGAACGCTTTCCCGGGCCAACAATCCTTGTCCTTGTCACCCGCCCTCCCCCTTCCCCCTCCCCTTGCCGCTAAAGCCCAGCCCATTGCCCAGTGCCACTCGCCCCGCCCCCTTTTGGCCCACTTGGGCGACACGTGCTCATTATGCCGCTTCAAATTTTACTCCACTTTTCGACTGCTCGTTGCCGTGTGACTCCTTTTGCGGAGTTTCCTTCAAGATGCGATGAAGGCTTGAAATAAAACTTCTACAGATTTAAAAAAATTGATTTAAAAAAATAAAACAATTTTATTTTTTAACTGATTTTTGAAGTTCAAAGATTAAGCTAAATAATTTGGTATCTATATTAAAACTAACAAAAAAACGAACTTTAATAACTGCAAGCTTGTTTGTATTATTTATTATACAAAATCACTCATACGCAATGTGTGCAAAATAACGCATACGCAATTATGGCTTTGCATAATATCTTAACATAAACCCTAAAGTGTAAATATTATATTTTTTCTTTTTGAAAACCTAAAATGTAAATATTATACAAATTTTTCGTTTTAAAGCTGAACCTCACTTACCATTTAGGGTAATAGGAATAGTGGCACACAATTAATGCCCATGCTCTAACCCTCCACTCCGCTCATGTTTTCAAGGGTCACCCTGGCACATTGGCACATTGATAACCATAACAATCTTGTTTGCTGTTTGCGCTTGGCAATTAAAAACTTGTTGATTGTGGGCGCTCCCGATGTTCATACCCTCGGCTATCGGTGCTCCCAGTAGCAACTACTAATTGAGATGTATCCGCCCAAACACTAATATTTGATTTATGTGAATTAGCCAGAGTCTGTGGGACCATAAATGGTTGCCTTGATGAAAAAGTCAACTGGCAGTTAACTGGCCAATGAATACCATTTTCATTAAATTGCTTTATTTAGCCGGAGAGCTTCGTTAATTATTTGTGTCTATATTTAATTTATCTACATCTCTGTACGGATAAGTTGCTCTGATAAAATATTACCTCTGCTAATTAAGAAACATTTAAGTATTTTGTATTCCATCCAACAACTAGGTATTTAAATGCAGAACTTTTATAAACAGAAAAAAATTTCCCATCACTAACAAACTTTTTCTTATCTCTTCTCTTTTTTGCAGTTGCTGATAACGTAAACAAGTGGCAATAACATAGAATAAATTAAAAGCGGTCCGCAAAGGTTCGAAAGGCCAAAAGTGAAAGCCAATCCGGAGTGAAGGCAGTGCAAAGTCAACAACTTGTGGGAGTCAAGAGCTCGAGCTCGAGTCCTCCAGTCCCCGAATCCTGCCGGTGTGTGTGTTTGGTGGTGTTGGTGTGCGCGGTTGTGTGTGTGCGTTCGTTCGTGTGCAAAGTGTTCCGAGTGCTACTGAGTGTGTGAGTGCGTCCGAATACCGGATACCGGAGAAGCCACAACGTCGTCCACAAAACCATCGACGTCGACTGCCGCCGCTGCTGCCGCCGCCGCCGCCGCTGCTGCAGGATCAGGATCAGGATCGGGAGCAGGAGCAGGAGCGCGAGAAGGAGCAGGAGCGGGATCAGGAACTGGTCCAGGCCACCAGAGGAGCGGCGGACGGAGCGGCCAGCGACGTCGCAGTAGCAGCAGTAATCCACACGCCGGCACAACGAAAGCGACCAGCGGCAGCGGTGGAGCTGGCAGCGCCGGCGGAGGAGGAGGAGGTGGAGGAGGAGGCGGTGGCGGCGGCGGAGGTGGAGGCGGGGTCAAGCAGAGCGTCAGCCGGAACAGCAACATCCGGAGCAGCAGCTCCAACAGCACCATGGCCTCGGCCAATCACCGCGGCGGCGGAGGACGCGGCGGAGGTGGCGCCGTCGCAGGAGCCGGTGCCGATGGCAATGCGATCGTGGGTCTGCAGATCGGATCCGCCTGGTTTCAGCGCAAGATCAACCTGAGGCCGCAGCACCGCGGCGTCCATCTGGTCACCGAGGAGATCCTCCGACAAATGCCGGAGCTGGCGCACTTCTCCGTGGGATTGTGTCACATGCAAAGTGAGTAGGATATTTCATATTAATAATTATAAATTCAATGGGGATATCTTCATCTCATTACTCATTATTTATCTATTCATTATTACATTATTTATTTATTTGTTTTTAATTATTATAACAAAATACTCCCAGTTAAATTTCTATGAAGTACAAATTCAAAGCTCCCAACTTTAATAAAGGATTTATCTTTTAGAAAACCGCTTTTCAACTTGAGTTACTAGTTTTGTATTGCACAACAAACTGACCCAAGAAATAAATCCCAAATTAATATCTCAAACAGTTTTTCTGCAGTTAATGGTTGTTATTTAGCCATTTAGTATTTAGTATATCTTCGGCACCTTTTCGGCTGCCTCCCCAAGTGATTATCCGAAACTCAGGGCTCAAATGTCAGTTAATCGTGGGGAGCAGCTGGAAAATCTCCTCTATTTTTTGCGCCACCCCCTCATTTCCATCGCATCAATCTTTTTCCGCTCTCTGTCGATTCATACACTTTGAAGAGCTTTTCACGACCAAAAGGCAGAGTTGGTTGAGTATATAGTACTCTACTCAATCGGGGAAATCCACCCATAAGGGTATTCAGATCCTGGCAATGGAAAAGTTCACCCAACAATACGTTTCCTTTGTGGGGATCGTATTTCTCCGGGGGAATCTCGCTATGGCCAAGGCGTTTGCATTTAGTTGAAAGTTGAGCTGGACAAACAGCGAAATGTAGAACTTGCATACCAAATCAGCACAAAATGTCGTTGAATTCGGCAGAGGCGAAGCTGAAGCCGAAACTTACTGGATTTGCAGGACTCGAAGGGGCTGCTGCCCAGGCTCATTTGTATTAGCCAGTAGTAACTGGGTTAAACTACACAGATAAACTGACTTGGCTGACTTGGCCCGGTCAGTTGTTTGCTGGCTGAAACCCCGAAAATTGCGATTGACATTCGAAAATACATAGTTTGACTTTCATGCGCCCAAAAACGTGTGGCTGTTGCGATGACCCACATTGCAGATGGATTTCAACAAAATTAAAGCCGAGATGGAGATGGAGATGGAGTGATTGGACTTGAGATTTGACCCCACTCATGTGAATTCCGGAGATTTACAATGGCTCCGAGAAGGATTTTGTAGTCATTACTAGAGTTTTAATCGCGTCCGCCAATTTTTAATGTCCGAAAGTCAGTTGATTTTTGTGAGCTTTGCAGCTGTGAGTGCAATATGCCGCTCGACAGGATGTCCACACACATCACACGCCAGGCGATTTGAGTCCTTGTTCAAGTTTTATATGCCACTCCTCGGAATGCATTCGCAATAATCTCCGGATTGCAGCTCGGCAAAGTATTTCTTTTTGTGCGCTGCCGCTGCTGCTGCTGCATTTCGCACACTAATTCTCGTGCGGAATCCCCGCTTTCGAAGTCTTCTGACAGTGGATGCACTGGGGAAAAACCTATTAACTTCCCTTTAATTCAAAAAATGAAAAAAACAAAAGAAATCAAGTTATCTTAACACATGGAGGAATTCGAAGGGAAGATAATAAGGTTTCAATATATTTCTATTTCTTTCTCTCATAAATATATTTATATATTTTTTTAAATGTATTTCTCTCAGTGTTGGCGAATATAGCACTAAGACGATGAGGAGGCAGTCCAAACAGAGAAACAACCTCCGTAGTTGGCTGCCTTAGAGGCAGCTTCTTGTTGACAGTTCGCATTACAATGCCAGGACGCGTTCCTCCATCCTGCGGCTTTCCGTCTCCCTCGCTCCCCTCTCCCTCTCTCTTCCCGTCTCGCTCTGGCCTGGGCAAATAAATAAAATCGTATCATAAAGCGCCAGCTTTGGGGGGGCAGAGAAAAGGGGGGGCTGGATGGGAGTTGGCCTGACTAAAGTGAAAAGCAATCGTCGTCTTAGTCGCAGTCGTCGCTCATGTCTGCATGTCATGGTCTGTGGCTATGGCGTGTGAATGCTCGAGGCGAACTTTTCCAGCCCCCCTTTCCTGAGCCTCCCCCCTCCCCCCTCCCCTCTCTGGTGTTTTCCACTTTCCTGCCAGCCCCCCTTTTCCCGTGTCCCTGCACAGGAAAAAACGTGGTTGCTCAACATTTGTACGAGATTTATTGCTGCATTTTAAAATGGAATAATTTTTAAGATAATACCTACAAATTATACAGATTAAAAATATGTATATATTTAAGAAAAGAAATGCACATTTAATGATGGAAAAATGTGTGTAAAAAAGTATTTACTATCTGGGGAAGAAAAGTAGTTTCAATAAGTTTATTAAAGTATGCAACTACAAATGTTATTTTCAAAGGCACGTCACTTTAAAAGCTATAACATCTCAGGAAATGTTTTTGTAAATTCTAGGATGAGTTAACGTATTCCTTGTCCTTAACCAACATATTTTTTGTTGAGTGTGGCTCACAGAAATCGTCTTAGCCAGCACATTGCAGGCAAGTCTTTATTATTACGAACCTCGGCTCTCGCTCGCTCTTGGTCTCTCCTTTATTTTTTTGCCAAATCAAAAGCACGTGTGTCCCTGCTCCTTGGCCCCGGCCACGCCCCCTTCGCCGCCACCCGTGCTGTGTGCGTGTTTGTTGTCTGGGGTGCTCACTGTACGTGTATTGTTTTGTGAACTGTAAGCGAAATCTAATTGAGGTCAAGACATGTTTATTGATTTTCTTAAAAGGACTTCCTAATTAGACACACTTTACTAAGGGAAGCTTCAAATCCCTCCGCCCCTTTTCCTAATGCAAAAACAAAAAAAAAAAAAAAATGGTAAATAAATGCAAGCAAATGAAAGGCGATTCCCCGCTTTCCGCTTTCCGTTTTCCATTTTCTCCTTCCCAAGAAAGGCAACAAAAAAGTTAATTTCGAGAGAAAAAAAATAGGGAAAAATAATTTCAAAGCAACCTTGCCATATGTTGTTGTCTTTTACTATTGACCTCAATAGCACCCATTTTCCGCCACCCCGCCCCCTTTTGTTTCTATGGGGAAAAGCGCAAACAAGGGCGCGAAGGAGGAGGAGGAGGAGGAAAAGGAGGAGGAGGAAAAAAGTGGCCAAGAGGACACACAAATCACAAATACACAAAAATATAAGCCAAATGTAAAGGTAACTTGTTAAACACAACAAAAAGTAATGGAATGCAGGGAAATGCTGAAAAATGATATATCCACCCGGTTTCCGACTTTTCCACCTGAGCCAGGCAAATATTTCCCCTCTGCGACTGGCTTTTCTTTCCTCTTTTTTTTTTTTATTAATATTCATATGTGTGGCGGGAAGGTCGTTCGCTTATAGAACCGAACCCTACTGACCACACAATGCCCCATTGGGGTTTTCGTAACCTCAATATAAAGGGGTCCTCGCAGTGTATATATATATATATATATATATATATTTAAGTGTGTTTAGCAAAGCTAATTGCCTGGGGGGCAGTTGATGATTTGTTTGGGCATTTACTTAATCCCACATTTAAAGGTTAGATTCCAAGGAAATAGAAGTTGATAGAAAATGGTAGTATTTAAGGAAAGTTAGATTACTCAAATGAAAAAGGTTATTGTAGAAATACTACAACTGTAGGAAAGGGAAATGTCTATATTATCTTTATAAATAAACAAGACAAAAGCTTCTAATGATATGTTTAAAATTCAGACTTTAATACCTTGCACATAACAAAGTTTCTACAAAAGCTGAAATTCCTTAAAAAAGATTTATTATGGAACACCTCATTAAAACGTAGACCTTAAGATGTTCCAGGATCTTTTAAGGGCTGTCCTGCCCGACTTCGTGGAGCCGCAGGAATAGGAATTCTAGTGGTGGAAGGACCGTTCTCGACAGCAATTTGCTGCATAATCGCAAGATCATATAAATGGCTCAACTTCAATTTATAACCCGAGCATATTTCTCAGCCAGAGCGAAAGAGCTGCAGGAGAAGAGCAGCGCAGGGAAAAGGACACTGGCGGAGTGTCCTTTGTGGAGGAGCAACACCAAATAAATCAACAGCCAGCGAAAGCGAAACCGATTCTGGGTGGGTTGCTCTTTTTCTTTTCTTTTTTGTTTGGGGTTCCACGGAGTAGGGAGTTTTGGGAGCCTTTTACATTAGGGATATATTTGTGTGGGCGTACGCGGCCATTTCTCTTTTCGCTTTCGTGACGACAGGGAAACTGCGAACGAGGGAAAAACAAAATGGAAAAACGGCAAAGGAAAACGAAAAAGGAAAAAGGAAAACAAATCGTGCCATGTGTGTGTCATACTTTTTGGGCTTCCGTTTATTCATTATTCTTATTCCTTTATTCAGCCATTTGGGCTCCTTTAGCATTAAAATTGCTCGCTTATGAACCGCAAAATGCTGCGCTACCCAATAAATCAATATTATTTATGCAAAACGAGCACGCCAGAGGTTTTGGCCCGCTTTTCCGATTTTCCAATCGCATTCGGGGTGTGCTTGAACTAGTTTTCCTCCGTTTCGTTCCGGTTATCCTGAGCACCTGACACAGAACAAGGATAACCGAAGCCAGCTTTTGTTTTACTTCCGCAGCGGGAATTTCTCGCTGTGTCCTCTGATTTTCGGCCTGGTGTCTCAGGATAAGCATTAAGCCCGGGGACTATGTAATAAGAAGGTTGATGAATTTAAGCATTTCCTCCAGCTTTACATTATGTAATGCCCGCACACACACAAACACACCGCACACTCACGTGCTATTTGGAGGCTTACAGCTTAAGAGAGAAAAATGGGTTTAAATTATTAAAATAAGAAATCATATTTTCTGGGTAAAAAATTAATTGCAACCTTCTAATTCTTTCCTATTAAAAGAAAAAGAGGTTAAGCGCTTTTAGTCCTTTTAAAATTCTTAAATAAATCTGCCCTTAAATGTAGGCAACACTTTTTATATGTGCAAATCATTCATGAAGCAGATCGTTTCTAACTCCAGAATTCCTCAAGTATTGTACTGCATCCTGTCACCTTGCTTTAGCTGAAATTTCACCAGAACTTTTTCGTTGATTCCTGGTAACTAGAACATCGACCGCTGCTGTAGCGGAGTATCTGAGTCTGAGTGCGTGTTTGCATGAATATATGAATGAACGCAGCCAGCTGAGCTGAGTCAAGTTGAGTTGTGTTGAGTCCATTGTTAAACACTGGGGTACTCCTCCATTCCATGTTTGTGTGCGTGTAGGTGTGTGTGTGTGTGTCCCTGTGAGTGTTGCGGTCGTATACATGCAGATGTGTGGGTGTGTGCTCCCAGCTTGTTTGTGCTGTCAGAATGTTTGACTTTGTATAATAAAAAGGCCTCTTTAAAAACATTAGCAACTTTTGTAGTGCCTAAACGCCTGCTACATGTGCCCAGGATACGGGCACTGATCCACCCACCCACCACTCCCCCTCTCACACACACACACACACACACACACACACAGACAACTAAACATCTAAACAGCCGGCCAAAACGATGCCACCTGCTACTTAACTATGCGTAGTACACTGCGAGAAACATTTACTGTTGGAGTAAAGATGGTATTAAATTATTGTAATATAATGAAAAATAAGGATAATAATTAAAAGTAGTAAGGTGTCATTTTAACTAAGCTTTACCTAAATAAAAACTAATTAAAATGTTTTAAGTAGCTTTATAGTTTTTTTTTCATTTTTTTATATAGAATTTTTTTTATAGATTTATATGTTTTACAGTCCGGATAATAATAATTTAATCACCGTATAAATTTTTTTTTTACATATTCAATATTTTAAATTACTATTTTAATTGTTTTTCCCACCTAAACTTTATGAATATATTTTTCTCAGCGCAGAAACGTTTATTAGCGCTCTGGGCACGTTGGCAATGGCTGCTTTTGCCGTAGGCAAACATAGAACCCTCCCAAAGCCACATTCTCCTGGCCCTGTTGGCGACCACAAAGCCCATGGCTAAATCATATTAGAGGCGTCCTCCGGTTGGCCACCGGCTTAACGCTCCGGAGGAGCCTTTTAACGCCTCCTGCCCGCGTTTCATTCGTGTTTGGTGCAATGGAAAAAGTGTCAGTCGAGTATTCCAGGCGGATGCGCCAGTTGAGCGGGCTAAAAAAAAAAGCGAAAACAAAAAAAAAAAGTAGGGGACTCGGAATAAATGTGCACGGAATTTGTAGCAAAGAAAGGGAGGACTCGAGGGGCAATAACAGGGACAACTCCACATGCCACTCAAAGTTGCATTCCAGAGACACAGAGAATTATGTTTGGGCCATTAACATATTTAACCCTTATGTTAGTAACCAACTTTACCGACGTCTTTTAGCAACCGGGTACCCGGGTACCCATAATTCTGAATATCAAAAATTTTGTTTATTTTATTAAAAAAATTTTTCCAAAATATTTTTTCTTAAAATATTAATAGTAAGTGACAATATAAGGAAAAAAAAATAGTGATGACGCTAAAAAGAAACCAGAAATAATAAATTTCTATAATAAATATAAAACTGGAGTCGACACAATGGACCAAATGGTGCGGAGATACACCAGTCAACGACGATCCTCGAGATGGCCAATGGCAATGTTTTTCAATATGTTAGATATTTCTTCACTTGCGACATATATAATTTATTCTAAAAAAATAATAAAATGATAAAAAAAAACGACAGAACGTCGTCAATTTATGCGTAAGCTAAGTGAGGAACTAGCATTGCCGATGATTGAAAATCGTACCGCGAATCCACAAATAATGCGTCACTTTTCAACAAAGATTGCCATTCAAAGTATTTTAGGCCATGCATTGACAGAAACAGTCGTGGTAAATCCTGGTCCAGAGATTCCAGAAGATAAAACCGGAAGAAAAATGGTTATAGGATCTTGCTATGTCTGCAATGCTTTGCCAATAAGAAGACGGCGAAAGACACGCAAGTTTTGTGCCAATTGTCGCCAACCTGTATGTGACGAACATTCAGTAAATCGTGTCCAGTGTGTTCAATGTAATTAATTATATTGCATGCATTTATAAAAATTTTATTCACTTTATTTCCTGTGCTTTCCACTGTGGGTACCCGGGTACCCGGTTACTAATGAGGCGATGGCTGAAGTTTAAGCATAAAAAAATATAATAAAAAAAATATATATAAATTAAATGAACTCGCAACTAGCTTCCTTTTAAGTTAAAAAACGACGATTTAAGAGCTTAACATGAAATATTGAACTTGCTTTAAGCTTTTCACACAGATATACCGCGGGGGGTACCCGGGTACCCGGTTACTAACATAAGGGTTAAAATGTGCGAAGGGCACTCATAACAAATGCATGAGAATATCCTTATGATAAACATTATTTTTTAATTTAATATTTAAATAAATATACTATACTTGAGAAGAACTCAGTTATATATCAACATAGATTGTAGTACTTGTTTTTCCTTTTATAGTTTTTCGAATGCTCGGACATCCTTTCCCCTAACTTTAATTTCAATTAGATTGGAATAGATTACTTTGACACAATTACTGAACATTTTCCCCCAGCAGGAGGGCCGAATTGAATAATGTGTTGCCATCGATATGGACAATGTTTTTTAGGCCAACCAAGTGCGGCTGTCTCGCTTCGGTCCTCCATTCAGTCCCATTTTCCACTCTCGTTCCCAATCAAATCCCATCCTGCAATCAATTTGCAAATTTGCCTTGCCAGCCCCGCGTCAAATGTCACTTTGGTTTCATTTTCATTTGCATTGTCCGAGGGATCCTCTGGCCCCCAAAAACCCCCGCATCCGCAGCCATGGGTAATATTTAAATTCCTGATGCCATTTACACATGTTCAACATGACATAATCGCCTCGGAAATTATTTAGAAAGAAAGTGGGTCTGGGTCGTGCGTTGTTTTCCTCTAATATCGGAATACGGAACTCGGAACTCGGACATGTGTGTCTATATCCACATTTTAAGTCTCTGCTCGGGGGCCCCGAAAATTACATCTCTGGGATTTGATAATAAACTAATTTTCGCTCGGCTTCTCCAGCTGCCAGCAGCTTTCTCTTTTATTCATGAATACGCAATTAGTGTGCAAATTCAAGTGTTTCTCCTGCTGCCCGGCCATTCGCATATACAATATATACTATGGAAATCTATTATTGAAACTAAATACATTCGGAGTAAAAGTATTCAATTTTAAGTCCGACTCTCATTGAACCGCTTGACATTTTCAGCGTTGGCAGTTGGCCAATTGCGAGCCCCCGGAAAATGCAGGCAATTATTGTTCAATTTTCAACTCCGAACATGCTCGTGTTTTGTGCCGTATCATAAATTTGTCAAACAAATTCATTTAAAATGGCAAAACGAATCTGTTTCGGAGTGGACAAACCGATGTTCGCTTGTGGTTGTATAATCCATTATGACTGGCATTAATTCACGTCATTTACATATGATTAATTTCTTTAAAATGTTGCTAATTTAATGTTCTAACGATTTATTCGACAATTAATCATAAATAGAGATAAATTCTGCTTAATGAACTTATTGGTTGCATTTAATTTTAACACACATCTCTGACATATTAATAAAGTCAAGAAGGAGAATAATTCAATTCAAATCTACAATCACAATTAATATGCAATTAATATAAAAAGCTTTTAATGAATGGGAAAGTATTGCATATATTGCAACATTTAAATGCTTTCTCATTTAACACTTTGTATTATTTGTATTGTTTCCCAAGTTTTCCGCTTGAGCAGTTTGAAAAGCCCCCAGTTAAATTGGCCATATCCAACATGTCTTTTCAAATAACACTTTGTGGATCTTTATGGATCCATGATAGCTTATCAGGACAACAAGATACCAACCACGACGATAGTGGGCCTCCCAGCGAAACATTTTGACTAATTGGCGTTACAACTCAATTGGAAATTTTGTGGAGCTGGGGAGCTAACGCCTCGTCGTGATGGTCTAATAACCGGGGGGCTAATCATTATAGAGATTATTAGTAATCCCACAGACAACTAATTGGCATTGTGTGTGCGCTTGTTTTGCTTTCAGTTCTTCACACCTCGGCGAGTTTAGCGTTAAACGAAAGTTGGGATCCAGACGTCAGGTTAGTGAATTGCCAATACATATAGTTTGTTTATCCTATCCTAACGATTCAATTGCAGAGACGACATGGAGATGATGTTGAATAAAATAGTTCCCGAAGGCTTGCCCTACAGGCATTCGTGCGAAGGACCCGACGATATGGTGAGTATTACGATGGGGGATTATAGTTCTGAATCGACAGTATGTTTTGATAATATCAGTATAATCATAATACGAACCATAGATTTTCTCGAGGTATTATCAAAGTACAAGTCACAATAAACTTATAAATTGTATAACCAATTAATTATACAAATTAATTTGTTTGCTGTAATAACATTCTAGCAAATACTTGTTAAATATAAAGTAAAGTATTTGTAAACAAGTTATTCTAAAACTCTTAAAATGTAATAAATTGATTTATTTTATAACAACTGCTTTTAAAGTTAGCTGATGCAATAAGACATGCTTTTATTTAACAATATTTACTTATTGGAAAGGGAGTTTTGCATACTGCTGATTCACGTATTGTTATTTAAATTTCTTCTGTAAAACCTTTCCTACTTATATATACCCATTGTATCCTTGCAGCCCGCGCACGTGAAGGCCTGCTTCCTGGGCAGCTCCCTGACAATCCCGATCACCGACGGCAAGCTCTCGCTGGGCACCTGGCAGGGCGTGTGGCTGTGCGAGCACCGCGACCAGGCGGGCAGCCGGAAGCTGGTGATCACGCTGACCGGATGTCCGCGGGAGCAGGCCCGCAGCCCGCTGTCACCCGTCTCGCCGATCGCCAGTACGTCCAGTTAGGGGCGGCCTCGCTCCACCCGCGACAGCCGGTAATCGCGGGGGAGCGACAATAATGCCATCATTTCGTCGAGGCGGCTGATAATGCAAAAGAAGAACTTGGCTAAGGCGGCCAACCTGACGGCGGCCCAGCAGCGGGCGGCGGCGGTTATAGCTGCTGCCGGTAGGGGTGGCGTTGGCGGTCAGGACTCATCCCTGGCCCTCATCCCGCCCAATATTCCGGGAGTGGAGGGAACGAAGACCGGCCGCCTGCTGCTGCGCCAACAGCTGCACCTCAATCTCAACTTGAACGTGCAGGAAACGCTGCGCGATGGCGTCGATATCGATGACGTGGACGAGGATGTCGACGAGGACGAGGACCTAGAAACAACCGTCACAACAGTGCCTCTTAACAATGAACAACTTAGCGCTAAGGTCACCACCACATCCACAAGTTCATCAGCAGCGACAGCGAGCAGTGCATTAGCTAAATTCAATCGCATCATTGACTCCACATTGGAGCGGCCACCGGTGGACTACGCGGGTTTGCCCAAGTTGAGCAGTGCCACACTGCAGCAGCGCTTCAACTTGGCCTATCCGGAGTTGGTTAGCCAGCCGCAGCAGCAGCAGCAACAGCAACAACATCAGCTGCAGCAGCAACATCAGCAGCAGCTGCAACATCAAGATGCGAGCAAGCAGATCAGCAGCCTCCAGGGCAACCCGAGATCGGATCGTGGAACGGGCGCCGTTGCCAGCACACCATTAACACTTCGAGCACCCAGAACTCCAGCAACGGCGACGGAGGAGCAAGTGGATCCGGGCAAGGCCCACCAGCAAGAAGACGACGACGACGAAAAGAACAACCGAGATGATCATCCCCACCACGACGAGGATAATCAAACGAAACGAAATGATGTGCATTATTTGTTGAAACAGTTGAATAGTTTTAGTGATATAGAAGAAATAGAAATTGTTGATATGAAGCAAAGGGTTCAGCAGCGGCCACCGATGGCCTCCAGTTCGCTGGCCACCATGATGCCGCCGCCATCGCCGGCGCCACTGGCATCGCCATCCACTCAATCGCATCGCGTCGGAGCCCGGTTCGCCTCCGGCTCCGGCGGTGAGGGGATCGCTGGTGCTGCCGCAGAACCAGTTCGACGACTACCTGTTCGAGTCCTGCCACTATTTGGAGACAAACTACTTTGCCGCCACCTACCGCACTGCCATGGTCGAGAGCAGCTCGCACGAGTTCCGGCCCTCGACCAACAGCAGCTCGAACAGCTTCGAGCTGCACGAGATGGAGCCGCCCAGTGTCATCTGCAAGGCGGGAGCACCGCCACTGGATGCAACCAGTCATCCTGGTCATCCAGGTGGTCATCCTCCTCCGCCCAGGTATCAATTTGAGTACCAAACGGAGACCCGACTGACCACCAGTGGAGTGCAGACGGAGCTCACGGTCGAGTCGCTGGCCAAGATGAGCCACTGCAGCGGCAGCTCCTCCTCCTCCTCGAAATCGAACTCGAACTCGGGGAGGGCGCCTCCCTTCTTCCGGTGCTGCTACACGCCCATCGACCGCTGGCGGGAGCGGAGGCAGCAGCAGAAGAGCTCCGCCGCCGCCTCCTCCTCCTCCTCCGCGGCGGCCGGCCATCCGCCCAAGGACGTCTGACACTGGGCGTGGCAGTCCACTCGGAGATCCAACATGTGCCTGGCTAACCTACTTCAGGGATGCATTCCGCGGGGGAACTTTAGTTGGGTCGGGATTTATCATAGACATGGTTCGGTGCTCTTTTTCAAACTTCAAATTTAAAATATTATGATATATTTTTGCAGGTTATTCAGTAGTGTATTGAATAACTTATTCTCTATTAATGATTTTTAAAACTAATATTGAAATTCAAAAGTTCTTGAATTAATTTCCCTTTTTATTTAATTACAATACAGATTTCCTTTAAAACTTTTATTGTACCGAACCACTTGCCTTTATAAGATTAACAAATTAACGAAACAAAACGGTCTGCATCCCTGTTTTTTTGGTCGCTGTTCTCATTTGCGATATCAACAAGAGATTCCATTTCGATCGACAGTCGATACACGAATCATTAAGCCCCTAATCATCCGATGGAAGTTCATATTATTGTACAATTTATATACGCTAAAAAAAGTAAACCAGAAATGTTAGTAAACAATTTTTTATACACACACCAGCCACACAGACATTCGCACATTTTTGCAATACACCAAAGTAAATGATTTGGAACTTTGTATAAATACTTAAGAGTTGTTAAGTGGTTAACAGGTAACTTGGTTAGCTACTGATAGTTAATGGTTCCCAATTTAACACTTTGTTTTGGACTCACGAGATGCTCTTTTTAGAATCTAACCGGGTTATCTGCGAACCACTTAAACGAGCTGAACTCAACTTAGGCCTAAAGTTGTATTCGAAATGTTTCAACGGAAGAGGAATATTGTTAAAAATTAATTAAAACGTAGAAATGGACGAAGGATGAAGATGCGAGAGCTTGTATAGTAAGTTGATAATGAATGATAACGATCGAGAATCATGTTGATAGTGGTCGAAATAGGAATAGAAGGCGCGCACGCCGGCACTTTTGTTTTAGACTTCTAGATTCCTCTCGCTTTACCAAGTCCGTTGGTCTGTCTAAATAATATATAGCATTCAACTTAGGAGATTATCAGCGTGCGCGCGGGTTTTCGATCCCAAAAAAAGTAAAAAAGGAGAAGGGTCAAATCCAATAAAACAAAAGCAATTGTTACATCAATTAGACACTGTTCTGTTGACTTATCATTTAAGCCACCTATTTCGTTTCGAAAGTCTAAGCTTTTAAGGAATTGTTGTTAGAGCACAAGAGATACTGGCTATACAAGCAAACCAAAAAAACACGAAACGATTCAAAACTCTTAACCAACCAAGAGCAATATTAGTTTTTAAATCAGTTCGGATTTGTCAATTTTGTTGAGAACATACGCAAGTAAAGAACATACATCAAATATATATCACTAACTTGAATAAGCCTCGAGATCACGCTTTGGTTTATCGGATAATAAAAATATATACGCAATTGGAACACCGTCTAAAACTGAATTTATTTCAACAAATTTCCGCTGCTCAACATTGAACTGAGACCCACAGACGTCTGGTTTCAGGATCTTCAGCTGAGTTCTTCCAAACAGCGAGTGCAATCCGAGGGAGAATCCGCAAAGCCACAACCACAAAAATACAATGAAAACCAAACAAATGCCTTTTACATGCCCACACGTACACTAAAAAGAAAAAACGAAGAGAAATAACAGAAACAGAAAACAGAAGAGTAGCCCAAGAATGGTAACCAATGTTAGTCAATAATGCGCCGAGCAACATGCAAATGTCTGTAAATCACAAGCGAGGCGAACTAATTTATTTAAAATATATATCAACACGTTGATTATGTTAATCATTAACGATTTACGAACGACATAACAAATAAGTTGTTATCGAGCGAGAAGTAAGAGTTATGGGGGCTAAATAGCGATAGAGAAATTACCTATTGTTGTATGTTTTATTCGAAGCGCACGAAATCTAATAAACATTAACGTAATCGCTAAAAAAAAAACAAAAACTTAATGAAAGCGATTAAAACCGTAGCTAAAGTGAAATTTTTGTAAACTTTTTGATATGTGATGATGATTTGGATAAATTAGAGCCACAGAGGAAAGAATTATTACCTTAACCTAGCCATAGATATTTAATCTAATTCAAATGAGTAGCGCAAAACGCCAGCGAGCAAATGAAAAATGAAAAATGAAAACCCAAGGAAAGCTAGCTAAATTCTAAGAAGGATAACCGGAAGAAGAAGAAGCATCAGTGGCCAGTTGTTATGCAATAATCGTAGTCTCGGCCAGCCGAAGCACCAATCAAAGTTCCTTCTGGAGGCTAAAAGGGACGAAAAGGATCCCCTTGTTTTGAGATTGAGAGCTCCGGAGGGAACTGTTATTAGCAATATCGAATATTCATGGCAATTCAATTGTATTAACGACATTGATAAATCTGAATAGCGAACGCATTGTAGGAGCCTAGTTAAAGAACCCCTGAGGAGATGAGGGATGAGATACGAGTTACGAACTCATCCGATCAGATTGAAATGAATACTAAGTGTAACTAAGCGAGTAAGTAGAGAATATTCAATTGTAAATAGGACTTCATTTACAATCACTTGATTTGTTGACTGGTTTTTGGTATATTCAGACAATTATGCGTTAACGTTAACCATGAATGGAGGATAGGCGGAGATATAACCGACACGAGTAATCGTAATCACACACGAAAAGCTTTAATTAATTTAATTACCGGAATGGGAAACAAAAAATATGAAAAAAAAAGAAAACCAAAAAGTACTACAAATATGTATTTAACAATAATCGTTTTTGATATCATTTCCATTGGTAACGGATTCCATTGTAGATACCTATTGAGCAGCCAGTAATTAATTAACTAGTCCGCTAAGTCGTCAATGTCGCCTAATGTGAGTTCTATATATTGCATCAGATAATACAATAACAGAGCATATTAGCTGTAAAACCAAACAAAGGCAACTAATTAATTACCAGAACAGAGAAAACGGCCTAGAAAACACACTCGAAAACCCAAGAACACACACCACATACACACACCATACACACACTCACACACACCAACACTCGAACACTAAGCTTTTATAAAACTATTTAACAAAAATATATATATACTATGGAAAATAATAATCCTGCCAAGTAACATTCGAATACCTGCTTGAAGAAGATACACCCGCTTTTGCTAAGGAAACAAAACAAAACAAAAAACAAAGATTTAATAAAGATGAAAACAAAAAAAAACAAAAACGTAACGAAACCAAAATAGATACAAGATCTAGAGAGACACTATGGCTAAATACGATTTTTATACTTTCGATAAAATGATTTTTTATACTAAACGTAAAAACTCTTTGAAACAGAACACGCCCAAGTGGCCGACTTTTTGGGGTATCGATTTCAGAATCACTTTGATTTGAGTCAAGGAAAGTAAAGGTCATATTATAGTTATATATATAATATCCGTACATTATATATGTAAAACCCTAACTGCAACTATGGAACGAGAGCACAAATTTTGTTGAACAAAGGGACAAGCCCGCTGAAGCAGAAAAGTGGAAAAAAAACAAAAATCAAATACCGACAAAAACCGAAAAAAATCGTTTTTTAAGTCCAATTCAACTCAACACACATCACACACACACACACAAATCTTACACGTACACAGACACACAACCACATGCAGCAACATAAAATCAAATATATACTAAATATATATAAACATGTATGTATATATTTAGCTAACGAGTAAATAAAAACAACACCCGCACAACAAATCGCTCACCTAAACGATTTACCAATTAAATATGCTTTGTAAGCCCAAAAAGCGAATAAAAAGTGAATACATGACCCGCAGCCAGCAACAAAAACAAATCTCTAGCAAAAATGTCCACAAATTAGCCTACGACAGCGATTTTTGTATGAGCAAACAATTTGTAAATATATATTTCTTGATTTTATCGAAAAGCAAACCGAAACCGAAACACTAAAATCATTCGACTACCTTAGTTTTATCCTAATTGCAACCAGAAACACTTTTTCTATATCTATCCAGATATCGGAGTACATAAGCGAGAGCATACTTTAAACGGAAAATTATACCAAGAGTAATGAACAATGTCAACTACAATAAATTAGCAAAGTGGAGGCGGGAGGAAAGTGAATGAAATTAAATATTAGTGCAATAATTAACAAATTATTCGGTATAATTAAAATGGAATACATCTAAGTAAACGCTTTGTAAAATACATATAAACAATTTATTAAATGAAAAAAAATGAAAATGGAAAACAATAAAAACGAATGAAACCAAGAGGAAAATGAAACACTATTGAGTAATAAAAAGCGTTATGCATTGACATTGACACACGTGATTCGATATCTCATCTTATAAGCATAAATCAATAAGATAACAATAAAGAAAGATTAAAGAAAATGCAAACCGAGCGACTCCATTTGATTTGTGCTACTTAATGATTAACATTTATTTGTCCGTAAAATTGGCTTTGTTCTTTTTGCAAGATTTTACAGATACGTCATTGGTTTTTGAAATCAAGAAACTCTTAATCTAATGAAACAGGACACTCGGACTTTACGGCTGTTGCATGACAGTGCGAACATATTTAAGGACATCTGGATTGGACAGGATATGCATGTGATCGACGCCTTGTAGGGCAAGTGTGTTTATGGGAGAGCTCGAATAACCCGTCCAATATTGGCAGGCTCGCAGTGAACGCTGGTTTACGGTGCCGTCGCCCAGACCCATGATTAACTTGGGTGTCTCTCCGGAAATATCCGATTTCTTGTACTGTAATCTATCCAAAAAGAAATTAAATGGATATACCTTTACAAATTTATCTTAGCTCACCTTTCAACTGTGTCTATGCCATCGCCATACAGGCAATGCAGCTCCACATCCGGTGGACTGAAGTTTTGGGTGTAGCGAATCGTATCCTTGCGCATTTCCCAACCCGTCATATAGTCAATATCGTTGAAGAACTCCTTGAGCTGAGCCATTGTGTAGTTTCTGCTTGGAGTCGTGACCAGAACCTCGGACGGCTTCCAGAAGAGCGGAGAAGGCAGCAGCCAAGCAGTGGATGGATGCGTTATCTGCTCCTCTTTAAGAATCTTCGCACTCAGAGCGAACGAATCGAGATCGTCGCCCATGGCAAACACCTTCACCGCCTTGAAGCTGCCAGCCCAAGCTCCAGCCAGGCTGATCATGCGTTTCATGTACTTGGCCTTCCACTGGACAGTCTGCTGCTGCAGGAAAACCAGTGACATGGGGCTGCCCATGCTGTGGGAGATCAAGGTTACAGCTGACTGATTATTGGCTTCGTAGGTGTCCTCAACCAGTTGCTTGAGATCGACGAAAAACTGCTTGTTCTCATCTATAAATGATAGTTACTATAAACAATAATAATCAGCAATGGTAAGGGCACTCACTTGGTGCTTTTCTAAAGTCGTAGGGTGCTCCATGGATGTTAAGTTTCCGCACGTAACCCAAATCCACCAGCACATTGGCAATGTCCTTGAAGTAGGCCCCAGCACTATTTTTTGTGGGATCGATCCACTCGACTACCTCGGGATTACCCCAGCCGGGAATCCTTGTCTCCACACCCGGAGTATTGTGGGTTGTTCGCGTGGCCTTGTCGTAAAACAACTTTACATTGTCTATCCAGCAATAGACCATAGGAATGACCAACTGCTCCAGATCCAGCCAAAGATTGTACCAGTCGTGGGTCTTTTGGCAAACGAAATAGGGGGAGCTGGACTTGTTCAGACGGGCATCCATCTGAGAGCCTCCATCGCCAGGAACTGAAATATTGAAATGTCCTGATTAACAAGGATCTGACCTTGACCCAAAAAACTAAAGGACTTACCGAAAATCACTGGCGAGAGCTTGGGTTCAGGGGGCGGCGGAGGTGGTGGAGGAGGATTGCTCCTATTTTTTCTAGAAAATGGCCAGGGCCAAAAGCATTCACCCAGGCCCAAAAAAAGTGGCCAATAGCAGCACCATAAATATTCCCGATTTGAGCCTCATTGTGCGTTGTGCGTTTTGTTGTAAACAAAGCTAAAGTGACGACTAAAGCATATAAAGACTATATTTGCTTGCAGGTTATCGGATCGCGCCACTCAATTGACGCCAGATAGAGGTCTCCGCATAAACAAGTGAATCAACCCACAAAGCTTTGTGATAATATTTATGCATTTAAATGTTGCTTTTGTTGTCTGCGCAGTTACAATCAGCTGGGATTTGACCTTTCTACTTTATTTGCGGAACTTGGGGGGTCGCATTTACCCCTGTGCTAACGACGTCACTCCAGCTTATATTTATATTTGTATTTAAACAAAGAAGTTGAAGTTCACTATCATATTATTATTCCTTATCGTTGTTTTTGCACAGTTTGTTATGGTAAGCGTTTTTTCTTCATAGTGGTGGAACTCCTTGCTGTCCAGAGATAACAGAAGTCACGGGCCGTAGTCACGTGTTTAGACCATGGAAATAATACTTTGTTTTATTTATTTCAAAAATAATTTAACATTTAAAAAATTGAATATTTATCATTTAAAAAATAATTGTAACGGATTTTTGCTATTAATAATTATTCAAAGAAGTTTTCGGAGATGGCAGCAAAAATTGTACCTACGTATCTAGGTACGAAAATATTCCAACACTATTTTACAATCATCGATATAATTTTATCGCAGCCCGATTGATTTGCTTGCACACCACTAGGCAAAGCGCGACCGGCAAATTGTCCGAGGCTATCGTATTTTTGTTTTCATAGCATCCCCCAAACAAATAAGAATCCAACAAGATGCAGGAGTTCTTTAGCGTGCTACTGCCCGATGTGAAGCGGGAGCTGCGCCGCGGAATCATCGAGTGCTCCAAAAGGGGTCTGCTTCACAGCACCAAGTGGCTGGCGGAGATGCACCACGGCTTAAGTGACGTCCAGATCGACAATGAAGCTCCGGATGAAGACCACACCTTCAGCGAATGCCAGCTTGAGGGGATTACGCCGAAGGAGTACAGCGACTATTTCCTGGCCAAAAGCTATTACGATGTAAGGGAGTACGACAGGGCGGCCCATGCGGTCAGGAACTGCGAGTCCAGTGTGCCGCGTTTTCTGCATTTCTACTCCACTTACATGGCGCGGGAAAAGCGCCGGTTGGACTCAACCACAGACCAGGCGAATCTCCACGAGCCCAATCAGATGCGTGATCTCGCCGATTTGCTGGCCACTTTGCGCACGGAGTACGGAAAGAGTCGGCTGGATGGTTATGGCATCTATTTGTATGGTGTCGTTCTGAAAGCCCTGAATCTCAACCAGGCTGCCGAGCAAATGCTCATTCAGGCTATCAGATTAGTTCCCATGCTGTGGAGCGCATATCTGGAATTATCTCCACTCATAATGGAGAAGAAAAAACTGCTCAGCCTGCAGCTTGGCGGTCACTGGATGCGACACTTCTTCATGGCGCACACCTATTTAGAGTTGTACCTAAACGATGATGGGCTCAAGATCTACGAGAATCTACAGACGTCGGGATTCAGCAAAAGCATATACTTGATTGCACAGATGGCTTTAGTTTATCACAACAAGCGGGATGTGGACAAGGCGATTGAATTGTACCAGGCGCTCCTAGAGAGCGATCCCTATCGCTTGGACAATGTTGACACCTACTCCAACCTGCTGTTTGTCAAGGAAATGAAAACAGAGATGGCCCAGTTGGCCCACAAGGCTGTTAGCATAAATAAGTATCGTCCAGAGACGTGTTGTGTGATAGGTAAGACTTCATTTTTAATGGTAACAACCTTCAAAACAAACTAACTCTCTGTTTAAACACCAGGCAACTACTACAGCATTCGCTGTGATCACCAGGTGGCCATTTCCTACTTCCAGCGTGCCCTGAAACTGAATCCCAAGTACCTGGCCGCCTGGACCCTCATGGGTCACGAGTTTATGGAGTTAAAGAACACTAATGCAGCCATTCAAAGCTACCGAAAGGCAGTGGAGGTCAATAAGAGGGACTACCGCGCGTGGTACGGTTTGGGCCAGGCCTACGAGATCATCAAGATGCACTACTACAGCTTATACTACTTTAAAATCGCTCACCAACTCCGTCCCTACGACTCCCGAATGCTGGTCGCCTTGGGAGAGACCTACGAAAAGCTGGACAAGTGCGAAAACGCTGTGAAGTGTTACTGGAAGGCCATCGATGTGGGAGATATAGAGGGAATAGCTATGTACAAACTGGCCAACCTGCACGAGAAGCTCGGCGATCACGAAACGGCGGTGCATTGCTATATAATGTACTGCGAGGACGAACGAGCGGCCACCGATAAACAGAGTCTTTACCAGGGTTTTATAACGCTGGCTAATTACTACGAAAAGAAAGGCGATTACGAACGTGCCGCCCACTACGCTTACAAGTGTCTGGACTCAGATGATGTGGGTAATTCTTTATAAAGTTAAGTCCCTTTTAATTTAACAAATTAATTACAGCGCAAAACGGAGGCCAAGGCTTTGCTGAAGACAATCGACTGGAAACGCAATGCCGAGTGTCAAAAGAAACCAAAAACTTCATCGACAGTGGCGAATGCAGAGACCAGTTCCGAGGATGAGATGGAATGGGAGCTGCCGGATGTGCGTGTGCGAGTGCCCTTCACCTCCATAGCAACCACGACAACCTCCTCGACTGCAGCTGTGTCCGCGGGATCGAGTAGCTCCGCCATTAGCTTACGTCCTGGACGAAACTTGGCCGAGGGAACGCGTCGATCGCAGGCGAACCGGACGACCTCAAATCCGGCCACTAGCAGTACCTCAACCACATCGGCAACTGCACTCACAACGGCCACTGAGGAGACGCCGGGAACATCGGGCGATGCGGCGAATCCCACCGAGCAGCCGCCCTCGGATGATGCCAGCTCCATGGAAATATCCAGTGTTTCCATCGATTAGTTCCATGCGCTCCAATTGTATAAATTTCTATTTGTTTTTATGAATTATATTGGAATTTTAAGTATTTAATACTTGTCGATCAGAATTAAAGGTCAGGCAGGATCTTCCAGTTGAAGGTTCCGCAAGCTACGTAGCAGAAAATCTCACCAGTAAATTAATAGGTCCATCTGTAAATTTAAAAATTCTCTGCATAAAGTCATTATAATTATTATAGGTATTCAATTTAAAATACATATTTTGGTTACAAAAGTTTTATTTTATTATTATTTTAATAAGTATTTCAGAATATATATTTATAAGATCAAAGTAAGATTGTTCGGTTTAAAATTGGCTTTATATATTATCAAACTCAATGTTTAATATAATCTTTTAGAAATCCTGGATCCATCTTGCTATGATGGCTGCCTCCTCTTCGCGAGCATCGGTCACTGAAGGCGGATCAGCCGGATCGCTGTGGCGCAGATCAAGGTGATGAGCTCCCTCCGGCAGGATAATGACGAAGACCTTGTCATTGGGAGCCTGCAGCACGCCGCCACCACTCCACGGATCCAGCAGACCGTTGCTGAAGATGATATTGGTGACGGCCTCCAGATTCCTGCCACCGTAACGCAGAATAATGTCGTATGGCTTGGGCGTTAGGCGATAGTTTTTGTAGCACCTCTCGGCGAACTCCTTAAAGTTCCAGCTGGAAGAACGGAACATGGTTTCGGTGCCATTGGAGCAGAAGGGCATCACCATCTGGTTGCAGGTCTGAACACTCCATCCCGACTCATCCACAACGGAGCTAACGGATATATCCAGGCACTTGCTCGATCCAGTGTAGTTGGTATAGACCGCCAGAGCACTGGACATGGCGTGGAGTAGATCGGCATCGGTGGTGTGCAAATCCTTGAGGTAATAGCACACCTGCCTCACGGGATAAGCGGGCAGTGGAGCCAGGAAGCTGCTGTTGTACGGATAGTTCACCATGGCCAGATCGCTGTACACCTCCTCGATGTAGTCCAGGAACTTCTTCAGATCGTCTTCGCTCTTCAGAGCATTGCAGAGGTGAAATGCATCCGATATTTGCTTCTTGCCAGCGTCGGTTCCTCCCAGAGTTTCAAACAGTTTCCACGACTTGCCGATGTTCACTGTGCAGTTGGCGTTGTAGGCATTCTGGAAGACGGACGTCACAATCCTGTAGAAGATGTCGCAATCGGTAATCCCAGGAAACTGTAGAATCGGAGCCGAGGCAGCCAGAGCTCCCGTGACCAAGTGCGGGTACTTCATGCGGAACCAGGCGGCCAGCATTCCGCCGTAGGATCCCCCAAAGGCCACCACGGGCATCTGGCGATCGTTCCTCAGGAAAGTGATCAGCATGGCGTAGTCCTCCAGCGTTTGCTCCACCGTAAAGTAGGCCAGGTGCTCCGGCATGCTGCTGTTGAAGGTGGAACTGCCGAAGGGCAACGATTTTCCGTAGTACCGATGCTCCGCAAAGATCACCAGAGCCCTCTGTTTCGCCGCCTGCTCCCATAGGAATCCGGTATTCTGGGCAAAGAGTTCGATGTCCGCCTCGTTTCCGGTGTAAAAGAAGATCGGAGTGCGGGCATTGCTCTTGTCCACAAACGAGTCGTTGTACAAGTACCGAATGTTGAAGGTGGTGTTGATCAGGAAGCTGAAGTGATCCAGCGGCACCTGGAATTCCTTGATCTCGTACTTGAACCTCTGCTCCGAATCGCATTTTGCGATCAGCAGGATGACCAAAAATGCTGACAGTGCAGCTCGAACTAAAAGTTTTCCCATTTCAAGGGCGATCAGATGACCGAGCGTAATCAAGATTTTTCCGTTCTTTATCTGTAAGCCGGGCTTTATATTACACTCCAAGTGTTACCAGCCGGCAAAAGTCCACAAATATACAAATTCTTTACATATGTATATGTTTGCATATTTTACATTCTTTCAGTGGGTATAAGTTATTACATTTTTACATTTTACATTGTAATAGGGATGGGAGATTTAAAAACAGAACGATTTAGTGAAATATCGAACACGATACAAGCTGATGGCGCCACACAGTATAAGTAAAATTATTCGTGTAAACTAAGTAAGATGTATAGATTTTATAAGTATGTGGAAAGTCCTCTTTGGCGGTATATTTAAAATTTAAACTTGGATAGCACAACAACTATTATTCATTGCCTATTAAGCGGCCCATGAAATTCTCTCACTTACTTAGATTTCAAAATAAAACAAATATTGTTTTTATTATTATTCGGTTGGGAACCCTGTACTCATGTTTAAAGTTGGCATTTATCATAACAATTTGGCGTCGTTCCGACTGATCGCTCCCCATAGGCACACACTTGGTTGCACGACTTTAGGCAGTTTATTTTGCAGTCGAAGCCACTCAAGTGAATCCAAAGACATAACATTGGGGCAGCATAATTGGCATATGGCAACGGAATGTATCAGTAACCTTTGCCAAAGATTCCCTGAGCTTCAGTTCAGTTTCTACGATCGGGTTTCATGCAACGCACATTTAATTTCCCACAAAAATACTGTGACAATTTAGTGTAATTTATTGTGTAAATGTTTCTAATTTAAAATTGCATATTTATGCGCACACACAAATCAATTCATTCGGTCCCGCGAGCTTCATGCATAAATTAATAAGCCAGAATGTAATTTCGTTTTTCGCGTGTATATTGATATATAAATTATCATAAAAACGGCGCAAAATTGAATTTCGAGTGGGTGAGCTGGTGGGTGGGTGGTTGGCTTTTCCGAAACCGAAGCGCAGATGTCAAACCGAGCCCAGCGGAAACGGAAACAAAGCAGCATCACAAATGTCAGCCGTTGCAATGGGGTCAACCCTCTTTGGCTTGCCGGTCAGTTGTGCCATATAATATATCCATCACAATAATGATCGCCGGAGATTATTTTCCATTTTGTGCACTGGTTCGCCTAATTGATTTCGTTTTTTGCCTGCGTTAATGTCGAAAGGAGAAATAATAATCATAGTGGCTCTAGTTGTCCGACTAATTAGCGTTCAGAAATAATTGAATAATTGTCCGCACTGCGCTCTTGAGCTTTTCCTCTAAACAGGAACTGTTGCAGTCGCAGCTTTTCCGTTTGATTTATGCGCCCGGCAAAAAAGGCAATAAAATGTTTGCAAAATCGGGACTGGGAAAGGCCATTCAGAGATGGGAGGGATCAGCGTAAATCATTTTGATTAATTGTGGAAATATTTTGAGTTCGTATTTTTGATTTCTTTAATGTAAATTTCATATAAGGAACTTTATATTTTTTTATAACCTAACACGGCCCTTCTACAGCTCATTACTTCTGCATTTTTGTTCTAATTTCAAAGAGGCATACCTCTAAACGCTTGTAATTGCATTTTTAATTCATTCTTTATTTGACCGATGTTCTTGTCAGCTTTATCCAATTTTCCAATGAAATGAGGATAGGTCACCCAAGGCAGGAACACCAAACTTATAACTTTGACAATTTTTGTATGATTTCAATGTGGCGGACCTCTCAACAATTGTAATTGGATACTGAAATAAATTACATTTAAATTTGTACGTACTATAGGTTGATATTTCGACACCATCGATTTTCCTAAATTTCTGATGGATTGCCAAAATGGACATTATTCTGTTAGCTGGCTTGTTTTTTGACCCATTTTCTAACTATATATTTTTAGGTTTGCGATGGCTTGCAGAAAGGTATCCAAACATATGACTTCATTTAACTTGCAGCATTTTATGGCGATTCATTTTTCAATTTCACACCGCTTAGCTTCCAAAAAACGCATATTAACACATACACTTTTGTTGTATATCAAAGAAACACCAGTGAAATTGCAAAATTAATGTCGTTCGCGAAAATATGATGCGTGCATATTTCATGACAAAGTGCCAAAGCTTCGAAAATTCCCAGAGAAAGAGAGAAAGAGAGAGATTGAATGGATGAAAAAGGACGGGGAGCATTTAACTTAATGGGACGTGTCTTTATTTCTCCCTGTTTGCTTGCCGTTGTATTTATGCATTTTTTATATTTATTTTTATACACTGTGTTATTACTCCTTTTTATTATTTATGGACATATTAAAGCATATGCATTTACAAATATGTGGCAGTGGTACACATGCTACAAATGAAAATCATTTAATTGGCGCCTGAGAGTATGCAATGGTTTTCCATAAAAAATACATATCCTTAATATTTAAATTACGTTTAACGAATACAAAATAAATGAAACCCATATTAAAGCAGCGTAAAATCTTTTGAGCCCCTGATTTTCAGTTGTGTTTACCTATGACTCAAATGTTTACAATTTTTATTTATTTCCGCGCTGTTTTCGCCATTCGTTTCGCTATCAATTGTCAAATGGAAGCGCCTATGATGCAGAAATTGTAAAACAAAAGCAAGGCAGCATACGCCTTGCAATAAAATTTATTTATTTACAATTTATACTTTATGCTATCGCTATTGTGTGGACACATCCTGTTTTTGTTTTCCCCCGCTGGAAAGCGCATTTTATTTTCCTCACACTATTGGGTCAATTCGAGCACCAGGAAATTCGATTGTTTAAAGTGCAATTTTATGAAGCGTTAACCGGGTATTACATTTATGTTTGTAATCCCCGCTCGGGAGTTATCGTTGATTTTTAGATTTGACAATTTAGTGAAGCAGAAAAAATGCAATTTCATGGCAAATTTGTTGGGCGGATGGCGTTTAGTACCACTGGACAGCGGAGTTAATTGGAAAACGTATCAAGAAGCTCGCAACACGACCAAATAAAGTTGCTTCTCTCGAACAATGTGTGTGTTTGCCACGCCCCCGCACTCTTTGCGTTTCGGAGATCTGATAATTTGCCCATTTTATAGTTAGTTGCATTCGAGCATTTGGGGACATTCGGTTTAATTGCTTTTTTCCCCTCCGTTTTACATAATTAGAATTTGATAAAATGTTTCAATGGCTTCCAAAATGCAACACACTCCGCCCACCGAACAGCGCCCTCGCCCCCGCCCCCCTGGCCACGCCCATTGCATGTTGCATGTGCTGACTTGCTGTGCAAATTCGATTTTAATAATTGGAATTTATCTCTGATCAAATTTCGTGGTTGCTGAAAATGTGCTCCATGCACAGAGAACAAAATGTTTAGAAGAAAATCAGTTTGTTTTTAACAGGATAAGCATTTAAATCTAAGTTTTATTAAAACATAAGTATTATGATGTGATTATTTCTCCTCTTCAAAATTCACAATTATGTTGTTCTTAAATTTAATCTTATGCATATTTGCTCAGTGTAATCTTTGGTAACCATTTCCCACCCCGCTCATGCCCAGTAAATTAAATTGGTTTTTAATAGGCCAACGATGCGTTTTTGCCAACCAGGCATCGATTGGCGTAGATTGATTCGGCAGTTAACAAACATTTCTGGCCGAAAAACATCAAAAGTTCGCTTGGGAAATAATTTCAGCAATTGCCATATCTGTATATCTGTATCCCTGTCAGCGCCTTCGAGAAAATTGGCTACCAAGTGGAGCTTAGCTGTCGAGCTGATCGCATTTTGAGCTGGCACCCAACCGCCCAACCACCCACCACCCATAGTCTCCTGCATTTGCTGGTCTGACTTTTCCGCTTCGAATTGGCCTGGAAATTGTATTGACAGTCGTCTCTGGCTTTTCCATGCAGAGTATGCTCCTTCGGGTTCCTATTTTTCTGCCAGCCTCTTTATTTGCTGATGCGACAAATTGACAGTCGCAGTGGAAGGAGATGCCATCTGAATTTGTTAATAATCTGGCATTTCTCACATGGCATGCAGACACATCTAAGCGGCTTTCTGCCGGAGTTTCTGAGATGAGCGATGAATGCAATTAGTCCCAGATGTCAGGCACTTCAAAGAATTTAAATGGAAAGCTATGTTTTTTTCATACATTTTCGAATGTCCTTGGTTGACGAAAACCTCTCATATAAATCCAATTCCGGATGGAACTTCCCAATTTTGGTTTTTTAATGAAGATTCTGGGAATCGGAACTCAAATTCTTAGATTTCTTTTTTAATAAACATTTGATTTTTGTATACTAAGATAGAAAAATAATTACAATGCTTAACAATTGGTTTATCCAATGTTAAGTTTGCCTCATTGTTCAAATATTATTTCAACATAAATCAGTCTAATTAAATATTTTTTTTTTTGAGGGCGTATGCTATTTTTTAAAACCCGGTGATTAATTCTACTTTGTTCAGAGTGTTTATTCACTACGATTATATTTCAGCTCAAATTTCTCTGGTAGACAATTAATTTATGCTGCTAGCACATAGTTTATTGTGCTGAAATTGCCAATAATTTAAATTTTATGATATGTTTACGGCCAGCTAGCTAGCAATACATTTGGTTATAAAAGAAAATTTGTGCTTCGCTCCGGGGATTGTAAATTATGATTCAATTAATAAATTCACGTTGTTAAATAATTTGAAACCCCAAAGGATGAAATTGCGTCTTTAAAGCGAAAATGAAAGAGATGCTTATGCGTTGGAAATCCGTGGAAGCAGCAGTAATAAAGCTTGTTGGCGGAAAATCTCATGCGGTTGTTAAAAATTTTCGCCAGGCGCGTGTTGAAGTTGTGGAAAGGCTGGAAAACCCGATGGCAAGGACGAGGAAAAGCCTGATCCACCGGGGCCTGAGCATTCATTTTTTATGTTTATTGTCGCTTATCGCCTGCTAGCCAAGGGGGCGTGGCACCAGGGGGTGGGGGGGCGTGTCATTAGAGTCCTGGCGCCAAGATGAAAAAGAGTAAACACGGCTATGAAAAAACGTTAACAACTCTCTTGGGGGAAAAAGGGAGCATAACAAAACGCATTACACACACAATCTTTCAGCTTGTATGTGTGTGTGTGTAACTTTATTAGCTGTCTCCCCTGCGGAGTGTGTGCTTGTATGGGTGTGCATGTGGGTGTGCTGGTGTGTGTTACCTTGTCAAAATTATGAAAACGTTAGGGGACCTCCCCTGCAGCTCCACCTGCCCTTCTAAGGGGAAAATTGCTCTCAGGTTCAGATTTCTGCACAGAGATTTAAACAACGTTTAAGGATTTTTTATCGGTAGGAACACAGCCTGGATCTGGGAGAAATAACTAGCAGTTTTACTTAGAAGTTTTATGTCTTAATTCAGGGTACAAATACTTTTAATAAAATTATAAACTTAGGCATTCAGCCTCCTTTGTAAACCTAAACCATTCGTAACTTTTTCAAGACTTTCAATTACCCATCTCGGCAGCTCATTTGCCATGATAACTGCCGCAAAAGGCGTGGCGATGCATAATTCCGCGGTGCACATGAAATATTCCATTTCGGGCTAGAGAGTTTTCTTTAATATTTTGCAAATGATGCCGAGGAATCTCGGAGAGCGTGCCTGCACCTCGCCGGGGTCATTTAAATGCAGATTGCAATGAGCAGTCTGTCCACTTGAGAGCCCGGCATTTGCATAATGGCGGCGACACATTGCAGCGGAAGCGGAAACCCGAACCCCGAAGAGGGGGGTAAGGGGGTGCGAAAATTGTGGCAGTTGCAGGTACTAGGATCGTGTTTATTACTACTTGAGATTGCAGGGTTGTCGTCGGGGTTGTCGCCGCCGTCGTTACCAAACGGAAGCCATCGAGCATTTTGGCCCCCCAGAAGGTAGCACTTCTGATTTGAATGCAACAGCCATAAATAAGATTGGTCCTTGAACTGAACCGCAGCAGCAGGTGCGAGAAAGCCTCTTGAAAAGTGCAGTAAAAGTAATAAAATGCATATTTTAGGAAAGCCAGATGGTAAACCTTGAACTGGTTTGTCTTTTGAAAACCTAAATTTCAACTAGTAACTCTTTAAATAAAAGTAGCTAATTTAACAGGAGCTGTAATATATTCAAAATTTTTGGTAAATACTGCTGCTTTATTATTCTTCAAAAATTATTCGACTAGAATAAAATTCCTCGCCGGGCAGAGTTCAAATTTGGAATTTCCCAAAATATTTTCACCTTGCAGTGGTCCGTGGCCCTGTGGTCCCGAACATTTGCCGCTGTTGGTGGGATGTTTATGTTGCCACATCCACGGGGAGAAGGGCACGCATGGAGCTCTTCGACCCCAACCAAACGACCAAACGCAATTCACACACACACACACACACACACGCATGCGGTGGTGGCGAAAGGTGCAGCTGTGACTTTGGGTGGGGCGGTTGTGGGTGGTGGATGGGTGGAGCTGGGGAGGTGGTGTCAACCAGTGTCAGTTACTGTGGAAGGAGGCGCCTGGCAGCAGATGCAATGCCTCCTTCAGCACTTGAATAAATTGCTAAGCTTTTTTTTTACTATTCTACTATTTATTACTTTTCGCTGCAAGTGCACAAATATGATCTTTTTAAATATATATACATAAATAGTCTGCTAAAGAACATTTTTTGCTGCTATTTTTATTCAAAATTAATTTATTAAAATAGACTAAAATCTTCTTCAAAACACGTATTTGCGTGGGAAAAATATCATATTATTAACCAAACAATTTAATACATTTTTTTAGTAGTAAAAAAATACAATAATTAAATTCTAAAAACATATCAACAAAAAATGTATTACCTTTCACAAAGTAATTGTTATTGAAGTCGAAAAAAATGCGCATACTTTTTTGTAGTGCTGCCATTGGTTTCGGTTGTTGTTCGTGTGGCATAAATATCGTTGCGGTTGCACGTGAAAATTGCATTTGGCCAGCAGCATTTGGCTGCTGCCCGACTAGTTCTCCACTCGAGGTGGAGTGGAGGACATCGAGTGGGCGGAAGGAGTGGCAGGATGTGGGTGGATGTGGAGCTGCTCCCTTACACGTTGTGCAAATTGTGGACTTAAATGTTTATAACGCACCACCCAGCCGCCCGGCGAACCCACACTCCCAACTCTAGACCGTTTTCGGCGTTTGTTTATTAAGCTCCTCTGGCGGAGGATATAGAAAACGCAAAAAAAGGTGTTGAATGCCACTTGCTGGGCTGCTTTTTATTGCCATCGCACATCTAAGTGCAGCAGCTGTAAAATAAATATATATTTTTATTTTATCCCCCAAGCCCTAGCCACTTTCTTTTGCTTTTATTTGTTGTAGTTGGGAGGGGATATAAATTAAACGCATTAGAGTACGAAACCGCAGCGATTTTCCTCTGCTTTTTTCGCCCGGCATTAATTCGCTTTTGCAACCGACAAAGGCACTTAACGATTCTCCCTCTCTTTCTGCGGATCTGTCGCCCTCTCTCTATCTCTCACAATCAAAGTGTATACAAAATTTAAATAAGAAACAAATCGAAGTAATGGCCAAGTCCCCGCGCACCTCTTTGATTTCTAGGTAGCAAATACCAAATGCTCAAATGCTGTAAAAGGCAGTGGAGAAAAAAGCTGGGAAAGCAGGGAAAAGGGAAAAATTCCGACGATGCTCTTCACATAATGAAAAAATAAAGGAAACCGAAAATCCATTGAAATGAAACTCATTGAAGCATTTTTTGTTTGGCGTGGCAATGGAATTAATGACACGATATTGTTGCTTATCAAACACGTTTTTACCTGCCAACAATATTATTAAATTCACCAATAGCCTGAAGTTCTAATTGAATATGAAACCAGAAAAAATTACCATAAAGCGTTTCTTTCGTTTAACAAAAAACAAAGGTTTTTCTGACAATTGTAAATTTAAATGCAATAAACCATTGCCTGCAGGTGTTAACCGCATTGAAAGTGGGAAATCGTATATTTTGATGGCAGTTATTAAAAGAAAACCAAGGTTGCGTATGAGTACATCAAGAAAATAAATCGACACTAAACTTTTCTCGAGCAATCGATTCGATATCGGCGATAACCCATGGGAGTCCTTCGCCCGACTTCCGTTTTTAGTGGCGAAGGAGCTTAGGGCCAAGCTCTTAAATAGAATGACTAACCATCTTAATCACATCACAGACATCCGTGGATGTGTGCGGCAGCTGGGAAAACTAAACGCTCGCCGGCACTTCGGCAGCTGTCAGTTGTTTGCCACTAAACGCTTACAGCCAGTGGAAAATGCGGAATTTTTTGTTATATAATCAAATGGCAGCCAAAAAACGGTTTGTGGCCAAAAGGGCGGACGTCTTCTTTCCGCTTTTCCCAATGGCTCCTTCTGCCTTTCGCCCTTCGCCTTTTGTTTGTTTTCGCTTTGTCTTGCACTTTGCATACAAAGTACCATTAACTACTAGCATCAGTTTTTCACACAACAGCAGCGTTTGATGGGTTTGGCGGTTTTTCCACAGATTTCCTTCGTTTGCGGGCCAAATAAGTGAAAGGCAAGCTAACCGAGTGCCAAGTGCTCTGACCGGGAATACTCCATTTGGATGGAAATGGCTTTGGTTTAATGTATATGCCAACCTCAATAGATCTTTATTGGCTTTAAGCAGGTCTTATATTTATTGATAGGAAAAGCACTATGATAATTATCATTAAAATTTTGATTGTATTAATATGTATAAATATTACATTCTTATTTATACAAATAAAAATATAATATGAATATTAATACATAGCTAAATGGCATATTATAATCTATCTACTAGCCTATGGAGAAATGTTCTAACAAGCTCTTTGGCATCCGATGCGGTTGTTAAAGTGTCCTCCTCCAAAGTAGTGCTCTTAGTAGGATCAGAATCCTGCACCGTTGTCGTCTCATCAGATTTGTTGAAGAAGAAACAAAAGTAGACGACCAAAGCTATTATGATTATAATTCCGACAAAGGAAAACGCAAGTATGCAAAGAATCTTTAGTCCCAATTTGCAGCAGCTGCGAAAGTGGGAAACACATGAAAACCCAAGGCATTTTGGGACAAAAAGTAAACTTACCAACAAATTGCACTTCCGATTCCCCGCAGACACATAATTGCGAAGCACATGAATTTATATATTTAAAAAACTGTTTAAGAAAAAATGATGACTGAAAACGCTTTGGGATGCTTAGGCATATGATCAGGGGTAAAATGACATCAATTTGGGCAAAACAATTCGAATACTTTGGCCATAAAAATGATAGCCACACCACCTCCAATTCGTGAGCATATTTTGGCTTTCAAGCAAATTATATTTTATGCTATTTTCTCACAAAATATGTTCTTTTATTGCCGGCGGGGCAGGAACTTCGATTAAGGGTTGTGGCCGCCCCCTCGAATTGTCGTCGAGGGCCGCAGAAAATTTACAGAAATAAAATAAAATGAAAAAGAAGGAAACGTTCGAAGAAAAGCTGAAGAAGGCAGGAGAAATGTTCTTTCTTGCCGCATAATCGAAATGTATTTTGGCTTTTTATTGCACTTCCAAAGGTAAGACGGAAAAGTGGGGAGTTGGGCGGAGCAAGTGGGTTTTTGTGCGGGGCGATAACAACATTTTAACGCCTTATGGTCCATTTAGGTAAAAGTGCCGATTACGTTCGGCTTAACCAGAAATTATGACCTCTGAGCCGGCTGGTTTTGCGTGGAGCAACTTTAAGCTGAGGCGGTAATTTATATAAATAGAGTACGAACCTTAAGGAATAAAAAACTGGCTTTATGCTGATTAGGTAACTGAATATTTTAAGATAACCAACTTGAGCTATGCAAAGATTTAATTATAAAATGGTAAATATATCATTATTTACACGTTTCTGTTGATTTTCTGCTATTAAGTTTTCAATAGTCAACTTAATTTGCAATAACTCACAGTCACAAAACCCTTAATCTATGTATTTTAGACGAATGCTTCTGCAAACACTGGGAAATCCGGAAAAGCCGGAGTTTCATTGAAGCAGATCTACGGCTGAGGGGAAAACTTGAGTATCAATTACTGTGCTGGTCACGGCTGTGCTTTATGTGGCAGCAACGAGGCGTATGCGCAATTTATTTGCATATGATGACCGGCATTGCGTAAAAATTAATGAAAGGCAATTAAAAGCATTCGGAGAGGCAATAATAAAATGTAGGCCACAAACAAATAAAACGCTGCTCTTTGAAAAGTCATCCGTTCACCTCACAACTGTCAACAGCAAATAAATATGGCTGGGAATGTGCGAAATGCACAAAATATTGCCATTATAATCAAATGATTTCATTTGTGTTACTTTTGTAATTTAATGCCATTTGTTAGAGATATTTATTTGGGCCTATGAAAATCAAATTGAATTCCATATTGTTGTCGTTTTGGGTTACAATGTTTGTTTGTTTGTTGCGGCAGCGCTTTATTTGCTGTGTGTGTGCGAGTATTTTTGCTGAAACTTAAATTGAATTTGTTTTTGGGTGTTGCGGATTTCTTCACAATCAATTGCCATGACAAATGCTTCTCGTGTTGTTTCTATTGTCGCTTCTACTTGCAGTTTGGCTTGGATTTGTCAAGTGGAAATGCTCTGCTACTTGGGGTTTATAGTTTCTTTAGAAGGGTGCTGATTTGAAAATGAAATGTATATTTAATGGTCTCGATAAGCAAATGTTGTTATTTTGTGCTTTTTTTTGAATGATAAAAATTCATAAATTTAAAGTTATAAATTATGCTAAAATTAGTAATTATAATATGGCAATATAAATAAATATGTATTGTATCATTTAGCAAATCTTAAAAAATGTTATTAAAAAGTATTGTTAACAAAAAATCAATTTTAATATTATATACATAATTAAGCACCTTCAAAACTATTGAATTTATGATTTAGCAGTTCTGATAAGCAAGTTTTATTTTGTGTAATTTTATTATTTTTGTATCCTTTTTTACTTGTTCAGGGTGTCAGGAGTTCGTTATGCATCACATCCTTCCGCAGGCTTCGGTTTTTATTCCCGGAAAAGGGAAACGGTCTGTGGACAACTGCGCTCTGCGCTGCGAATCTTGTGCATTATTGCGATTTTACACGCTGCTGCACTCGAAAATGAAACGGACAATAAGCTCCACTTGCCTGCGGGCGGACCTAAAGGGGGCGTGGCAGCGGGAAATGCAGCATCCTCGCTGGCCATCATCGCCACTGTCCGCCGCTAAAAGCTTTTTGATTATGAAAAATGTTCGAAACATATGCTCCAAATGACTGCGAAGCGTGCGAAGAAAGTTGCCCGCTCCTTTGATACTTTGGTACTTTTTGCTCCGGAGCTTCAGAGTTAGAGAGTGAACGAATTACGTACCTAGGATCGTTCTATATAGTGTTCTACACGTACTGAGCATTGTGTAAGTAAGCATGTTTTATTTCGTTTCAGCTTTCCAGGCTGCCATCCTCCACATCCTCGTCCTCGTACTCGTTTTAGTTCCGTCGTCCTTGTTCTTGTCCTTGTGCATTGCGTTTGTTTATTGTGGCCTGCAGTTTTTTAGTTGCCTCCACGAGTGGACTCTGCTCGGCGCATTGTTAATGGTCGTAGCATTTCGTTTTGAAATTAATAAAGTGGCCAAGCCAGAGGAAATGGCCAAACAAACTTTGCTGTCGTTTTGATTTTTCTCTTTACCGCTGGCAAACAACTTTCAGCAAACTGTTCAAGTCACAAATGCATTTTTAATAAATGCTCTGATTTATGGGGCCTTTTGCAGGCACTGGGAAAAATGCTTAAAAATTATATAAAATAAATATAAAGACATTTAAAAAGAGAAGTTATTTTATTAACTCTTTTAGAAATGCATTTTATCATCTCCTTCTTCGAATATTCAAAACAATAATGAGCTTCTGAGCGAATATATTTATATTCGAATATTTTTAGGTTTTTACCCCTTCTAAAGAAAATTTTTGGCTGGGACTTCAGATTTTCGTTCCCTTTTCTTTAGCCCACCCACATGGCAAACTCTAATAATTTCCAATTTCCCTGCGTTTTCCCACACGCTGCGTTTGTCGTTTGACAGCCTGTTCATCATCGAACACATTTGCCACTTAGTGAGCAATTAGGTAGCCGAGTGTGCAGGGATCAGTATAAATCAACGAAGTTCCCATTCCGATGAGAAGACCAACTCGGAGATGGGCGACATCCAAGAGATCGAAGGGAAGTTGGAAAATGAGGTAAGTACATTCATAAAAAAAATTATAAATTGACACTATACTTTTTTTTGAGCAACCGATTCGATATAGGGGCTGATTCATGGGATATCTTTGCCGATATCGAATCGATTGCTCAAGAATCAATTTATTTGGTTCTTCGCCTGACTTCCGTTTTTAGAGGCGCAGGAGCTTTCGGCCAAGCTCCTACATAGAATGACTAACCATCTTAATCACAAAACAGACCATGTTGCGCAGTCTGTCGTAGTGGTTATATTAGTGGTAGTTGAGTGGTGGTATCATCCTTTGTCGTCTCAGATTCATGGAATACAGTGAAGTAGACGATCAAACCTGTTACCTCCAAACATCCGATAACGGCCAAAACCGATACAAGAGCAATCTTTATGCTGTGAAAGTTGGCAACACTTGAAAACCCAAAACATTTTGGGACAAAAAGTAAACTCACCAAATGGGGGCAAATCCCATTACTCGCAGACACATAATTGCTATGAACGGAAAATTTACTTTTCAAGAAAAAATTATGACTGAAAAACTTTGGAATGCTTGGGCATATGATCAGAGATAACATGACATCAATTTAGCAAAACCATTCGAATACTTTTGAAATAAAAATGATAGCCACTCCGTTAATTTGTGAGCAGAAAGAATTAAAATAAAATGATCTCTTAGTGAGTAATTATGTAGCCGATATAAATCAACGTAATTCTCACTCTGATGCGTTGGCCATCGGAATTATCGGTCCATAAAGTGCAATAGCCTTTGTCTAGGCGGAAGACCAACTCGGAGATGGGCGACATCCAAGAGATCGAAGGGAAGTGGGAAAATGAGGTAAGTACATTCATAAAAAAAATTATAAATCGACACTATACTTTTTTTTGAGCAATCGATTCGATATAGGCGCTAATTGATGGGATATCTTCGCTGATATCGAAGCGATTGCTCAAGAATCAATTTATTTGGTTCTTCGCCTGACTTCCGTTTTAAATAGAGGCGCAGGAGCTATGGGCCAAGCTCCTACATAGAATTATTAATCACAAAACAGACCATGTTGGACATGCTGTCGTAGTGGTTGTATTAGTGGTAGTAGAATTATCATCCTTTGTCGTCTCAGATTCGTGGAATACGGTGAAGTAGACGATCAAACCTGTTGCCGCCAAACATCCGATAACGGCAAAAACCGATATAAGAGCTATCTTTATGCTGTTAAAGTTGGCAACACTTGAAAACCCAAAACATTTTGGGACAAAAAGGTAAACTCACCAAATGGGAGCAAATCCCATTACTCGCAGACACATAATTTCTATGAACTGAAAATTTACTTTATAAGAAAAAATTATGACTGAAAAACTTTGGAATGCTTGGGCATATGATCAGAGATAACATGACATCAATTTAGCAAAACCATTCGAATACTTTGGCCTCTCCGTTAATTCGTCAGCAGAATAAAATAAAATAAAATGATCATTTAGTGGGCAATTAGGTATCCGAGTGTACAGGAATCACTATAAATCAACGAAATTCTAATTCCGTGGGTCCATAAAGTGCAATAGCCTTTGTCTAGGCGGAAGACCAACTCGGAGATGGGCGACATCCAACAGATCGCAGGGAGTGGGGCAAAGTGAGGGGTGCAGACACGTAATAGTAGATGCAAAGAGAACTCAAATGCACGCAGCCAGATACATTTGTTCGTTTTCTTGTTTTGTATTTTTAGCTGCCAACGCGGAGATGTTGGGAGCGGGAAAGGAATGGGAAGCGAAGAAAGGATCGTCTTATGATATTTTTAAACGATAAAAACACAGCGGCGGCGGAGTCAAGTGCACCGAGTGCTCCGCTCTGCATTGGCATCAAGTGTCCGGGGGCAGTTGCCCAAACATCGGACCAAATGAAGCCATTAGCCGGCGCGGAGTTGTGGCCCAAATATAGACACGGAGTCCATACTCCCCGCTTCCCGCTCCCCGCTCTCTTCATCTGCCGGATGATCTCGAGTTTCACGGATCTCCCAGAACGTTGTCTTCTCGAGGTGGTATCAAATCAAAGTGGTTCGGAATGAAAAGTAATTTTCATAAATTTCTTTAACTTGAGTTATAATTATATCTTAGAATATTTATTTAACTTCGAGATTATACTCAGAATTTTACAGAATATCCAACCACCATTTAGATGTTTGTTTTTTGCCATTAACTTTTATTATTTATTTTTTAGGGCTTATCAAAAAGATAATTTCAGATTATTTCGTTTTTATTTTATGACAGACGGAGGGTCAATTATTGCCGTAGGCTTAGAGTCCATGTGTCGCATTCGCGTTCTCCGGCAAAAGTTGGCAAAGTTGCAAGTGGCTCTGCGGCTTGGGGATTCCCGTCACGATTTAGCATTTTTCATCAGCTCAGCGATTTTCATGTCACGTTCGCGCTGACAAAGTTTTGCCCCCCGAAACCTTTGCCCTTCCACTTACAACTTGTGCTTATCCTGGCGCGAAGTTTCCGCGTCTTCTGCGGCCATATAACTGCTATACTGCTATACTATATATACGAATTTATGTAGGTATAATTCCGGTATTTGCTCCATCCTGCATGTAGTTTGTTTGTTTGCTGTTGCAAAGTTTGTCAGCTTGATGTTTAATTGTTATTTTGTGTCCCTCAATGTGGGTTTTGTGAGCGTGCGGGGCAACTTAAGGATGTCTGATTTCATTCCGAAGTTGTTCGCCAAAAGTTGTCAGCTGTCTGAAGGGCATAACTTTGGCTCAGATTAAGCCATTCCAAGGCCCTTCAAGTTGGCCAACTATTCGTCTCATTGAGCTTAAAAAACTCTGCTTAAGAATAATTATTATAATTATAAATAAAACATATCAGTTTGAGGTTTCTGTATTATTGATTTATTATAAAACTTAAAAAGAGCGAAAATTAATAAATGAATATAAATATATATATTATTATTTAAGAATTTTATGTGAAATAATTTTGTTGAAAAAACCCACGTATGATTTTTTGTATCTGTATTTTTGTGTGGGTATCTTTGCATCTGTGCTGCTTGTTTAGTCATCTAGTTTTTGTTGCTCACTAGTTTTCGTATTAATTCCTGTTTATGTATGGGTGAGTGCTTAACTACCCAGCGGGAAAAGAGATGTGGAAGATATGCTATTTTCCAGAGATTTCTTCATACAAGCGGAAGGGCAAAAACCTCCTTCACCCCTTACATTTTTGCCGTCTCTCCTTTCAAAATACACGCGGGTGACACACAAAAGGAAGGGGTAAAGGAGGTTTCTATGTAAAAATCCACAGGTTTCAGAAACCCACCCTTATTTAGCGGACCGAAATTTTCAACTCCTACCCCTACGCCTGCTAAAAGAAGCAGGATTTCCAGTAGACTTAAAACCGAAAACCTACTTCTAAAAACGTACTTCTCACTTTCCCGCTGGGTAGCAGCAGCCCAACAACTATTTACCGCACACACAGACACATTGGCACACTGAAATGTAGCTGAATCCACTTGCGAGCGATTTGAAAGCGTTATTTATTTGTGGCACAAGCGACCATATTTCAAATGCACACCGCACCACCGCACCATTGTACCACCGCACCACCGAACGGTGCCGCGTCACCGGCACCACCATGGCAATCGCCGAGTTGAAAAGTCGACGGAAATATACGCAGACATTGCACACACAAATAGCGAAAGGAAAACGCTGAAAAGGTTTAAGAAAACGAATGCGAAATTCTCTGAAATTATACGGAATTTTATTTAAAATACATATTGCATTTACATAAAGTTTCACAAATAATCATCAAGTTCAATTAAATTGGTTTAAAAAACATATTTTATTTATTTAAGTATTTATTTTTGTATTTGGTGAAAGCATAAAATGTTTTAGGATTCTTTAATAAAATTATTACAATTTAGTACTCTTATGTTATATCCATTTTGCTTAAGTTTAAAATTTGAATATATTTATATTTGTTATTTCTTGAAAACTCAGTAGCAGTGTATAACAATTTCCTACTGTTAAGCAAAAGTTGAACTGAATTTTTAGAGATCCGCCCGCAGTTGCATCCTTTAAAAGCAGCCCCCTCTTGCAACTAAAAATACGCGTAAACTTTTTCGCACCAGCTCCTGTTTGTTGTCTTCCTATTGTTGTATTCGCGTTCCTATTTTTCCCATTTTCCCGTATTTTTTTGGTTGTGTTTTTGTTTTTACAACTTAACGTGTGTCGCACAAAGGTGCACTAACTGCCAATGTGTGTGTGTGTTTCTCATATCACAAGCTTGCACCGCTGCTGCTGTTAGCTCTTGATATTTGGCTCAGACTAAGCCACGCCCCCTACTCCTGTCAGCCCCTCGGCCCTTGTTGTTGTAGTAAATTTATGCGCTTTCATTTTATGAAAAACTTTTGCAATAATTTCTCAAAACGTTTTTGTGGTGAATTGAAATGCGAGAAAAACATTTTGCGGATGGCGACTAAAAACTTGAGAAAAACCTTGCACCCTCACAGTCACAAGCACACACACAGGCACACATGTGGCATGAAACTAATACTATTGCAGGCAAAAGCCATTTCTTAAACACATACAGAACACTGAAAAAAGTTTGAACCAATTAAATGGCTTAGTAAAAGGATATTATCATCATATTAAAAACTGAAAGAAATTGTGTTATCATTTAAATGAGTGTGAGTATTTGTTTATGCTGGAATATCTATTAAGCATTGCTTTAAAAAAATTTCTTGCAGTGCATTGGAGCAGGAAAGCATTTTTTGTTGCTTTTTTTGCATTCTCTGCCACGCCCCCAAACGCTAAACGCCTCCAGGCGAAATGACGTTTACTACGCCTGCCAGCGAAAAAGTTTTCACATCTTTTGCCGCTGTCGGTCTTTTTGGAAGCGGGGCTTGGGGTTTGGTCTCTGGGTCTTGGCCAAACTTTAATGAAAAGTTTTGTTAAAAACTTTTGCGCGCTGGAAATTTCAACGCTTCAATAGGTCGCGGTGTGGGTTTTTTTCGGGGGTGGGGGGGAACTCTAACTGACATTAGATTGTTTTTGGCCGCGGCTCCATGGCCAAAAGTCAGTTCCATTCGGTTGCCAAAAAGGAAGGGAAAGGCAGCCAGAGCAAACTGGTATCAATTTTGTTATTGCAGTTGCCGACGCTTTCGACGTGCACTTTGAAATTATTTACCTGAATAAACATTTGGTATTTTAATTACGCATCTCTGTTGGCTGTTCGCCGTGTGGCGAGGTGGTTACCTGCCACATAATTGAATTAACACACAATTTACGCTACATTGCGCAAACTTCGTCTGTCAGTGGATCCTCACCCCCGCCACCCATTTACCCCCTCCCCTTTTAATATTTTATGTGGTTGTGTGGGGGAGGGAGTTTCACAGGTTTCTTGGCTGCTTCTACTTTTAGTTGGGACTGAAATCATATTTCAGAATCCTTATGGCAGGTCTACTCTTTGCTTTTCCACGTGTAAATTATGTCCTGACAACTTTCTTAAATCTTTGCAGTTGCTTGAAATATGTTACTCCAAAGTTTTCATTGAAACTTAATTGTTTGAAGTGAAATTTCATCGGTTAAGTATTAAAAGACTCTACACCAAATAAAATAATCAATTAATCAAGGTATTCCTTAGTTTGCTGGTAAATACAAATAGTTGTAAGATTCGGTTTGATTCGCTAATTGGTTTTGCATAACAAACAAATCCAATTTGGAGAATACATCCTCATGTGCTGAAGCAGAGGGAAAT